GCACAGTTTGGCCTATTAGATTCCAACACCCTGTGAATTTGTGCCAGACTATAGTGCTAATTCACTAATTTTATAGAGCAGGTTCCGAGTCTCTGCTACTGGAGGAAATTCATTATAACAAAACGATTTGGTATTGAAGTTCTGTTAACCTAAAAGTTGATTAAGTTCAATTACCTTATCTGATGCATAGTTTTTCCCAAAAGCCGTCTCCTGCAGGATGTGAGCTGCCACCTATATTTTGAATTTTAACATTACTGCATAGATGCAGAATCAAAATGTATAACTGATCACAGAATTCTAGAAACCAAGAAGGTACCTCACCACCATTGATACCTCCTTCATAGCACGGTTTCAAACTGATTGCACGCTCAAGGTAAGGTTTCCAATGACCAGTGAGCAAGTCCCTCCTAATCATCTCAACACCACCTTGATAATACTGTCATACGAAATTATTTTAAACCGAACTAGTATCAGACTATTGACAAGCATACAAGAGAGGAAGGAGAAGATGAAGATGACATTGCTCAAAAAATGTAATAAAGTTTTTCTTTTATAAGAAATGGACCAAACCTCAAGCATATTTCTCAAGAAAGGTTCTTCATTGAAATAATCTCTGCGTACGAAGACAAAGGGTAACTTGTATGCAAGGGCTTCACTCACAGTGCCATATCCAATTTTTCCTGAAATAACGTGAACCAAATTTTTTTGATCTCTGTCCATTCAATGTAGCTCCCTACCAAAGTAGTTCAAACCTACCGAGCATACAGTCAGATGCTGCCATAAAATCAGGTGTATAAGCATCTTTTGCAAGCTTTATGAAATTTGGTGGAAGGTCCTGGGTGTCAGAACCACCACAAACCTGAACCAAAAAACAATAAAACCTTTATTATTATTTTAAAAAAAAATTTAAGCACTTTTAGACAGGAAGAAAACGTATAGAAAATTCCATGAAAATACCAGGCACAGCCATCCAGGGGGTAAAAACTCCTCTTTCAATTTCCAGCCTGCTGGCTGCAGATAGAGAGAGAAATATACAATCCCAATTAGCAATAGACATAATGAACTATGAACTATGTGTGGGCAAATATGCAAGTTTGTATGAATTGCAACTTAGAGTAATAGTATATGAGTGCAGATAGCTAAGTGTGCATTGGAGAACTCATAAAGTTATTGTGAGGCTGCATGCATAATCTATCACTGCCAGATCTAACTGAATCATTCAAAATGAGATGAAACTGGAACAAAGGCATCCCAATAATAAACCAGAGAGCACTTTTTAATCATCAATTCACCTGTCCACCAAAGTTGAGGATGACTAGTTTTACGTCATCTCCAATTCCGAGTTCCTGCCTCACCTATATCCAGGAAAAGAACAAAAAAAATAATCAATAAAATGAACCAATGGAAGGGCTTTGCTAAAGATCTTGAGACTAAAACCTCTTTGCGAGATCTGCGAATCCTCCTCACAACTAGAGGTACATCAACCACATCACGGAAAGCAGGCACTGCAAAGTCAAATATACAGTATGAGACAAGTTAATAAATAATTCCCTGAACTGGAGAGATAAAAGGTAATAAAGACAAGGAAGCTACTGTCTTGGGGTTGAAAGCAACATACTTGGGCAGTATCCCGGGAGGCGGATGAGGAACTCACAGTGAGAATAATCTTCAGCTATCTATAATCAACACAAAGAAAATTACCACATAAAACATCAAAAGGCAAATCTAAAGAACACATGAGTCAGTATGTTTCACACCGACATTGATCTACAGAGACATAGCCGGATTGTATCAAAGAAGAAGGGTGGGGGATGCAATGGGCAAATGAATAAAATAAAATCGTAATTAATTCAATCTAAAGCACAGGAAGATCACCTGCCAAACGATTGAACGATGATGACTTCCAGCAGCCATCACATATTCTGCATAGATGAAGTCCCAACTGCATAGAGAAACGAAGAACACTGAGAGTTTTCGCAAATTTGAAAGAGTTGGACAACTCAAGATCATCAAAAGTCATAACTTGAACGATTCAAGTTATGCATTTACAACTAAAAGACTAAAAAAGATGCTAGTGATAACAAGATACCTGAAGTTAGTGACACAAACAGAGCGAATTCCAGCATCTGCTGCTGCACGACACGCAACAGGAACAACATCTGAGACCTGTTCTTGTACAAGTAGAATAAACTGTCAGATCAAGGATCTTTATGGAATTATGTAAACACAAATCAAAGCTCCCTTCTACTCAATCTTAACGGACTACAACGGACAGGAGCAAACCCATATCAACAAAACAACAGAAGAAACATTTTAAGTACCACTAGGTCAGCCTTGATGGAGGTTAGCCATTCAACTTCTGTTTTCAAAATAGAAGCCCTTGGCACCACAGCCGTCTCCGAATACTAAACAAATATAACATAATCAGCAACATTACTTCTCCACCACGCTAAATAAAAAAATAATAATCAACAAAACAGAGAAAAAAAAAGAGGAAATGTCACTTCCTATTACCTTTGCCAAGGATGCAAGACGATCGACTGTTAAAGCATCTGCCTGAACAGCTCCACAGTCTAGAAGAACCTAATATCCAAAAATTCAATAAGTAAATAAATTTCCTACTGCTACATTACTAATATAAAGCTAAAATATCACAAATCATAAAATAATTCTATAAAATTATCATTTTGATCATTGATGCATATTAATTATTATCATTGAGAGACATGCAACTTGTGAGATTGTGGAAGTGATACCTTGCGAATGAAGAGCCGAGGCGACTCTATCTCCGACGTGAAAACGAAGTCCGGCGCTCCGGTTACAACGTGCACATCGTGGCCGGCCAGAATCAGGTGCCGCACAACCTACGCTTAGAGAAGAAAAAAATACACCGCATTGACGGAGCAGATCAGCAATTGGACAATCGACATTGAAATTTGAAGAAAACAGTGATCAGAGAGCAGAGAGAGCTGACCTCAACGACGCGAGTTGCGTGGCCGAAGCCATGGCCGGTGACATAGTAAGCAAACACCAGGTGGTTCCTGGACGCCGAAACTCCTTCGCTCTCTTCGTCAATCCTCATTGTCTCTCTCTCTCTCTCTCTCTCTCTCTCTCTCTAGCAATGATCGCTGTGATCAAGGAGGGAGATAGAGAATCTCAATTATAGAAGAAGAAGAGACTATAATTGACAGAAATATCAAACAGATTTGTGCTGGAGGTTTAGGTAATTTACTAATAAGAGATTAGATGAACGGTGACGTTTCGATTTGTTACAAACTGAGCGGGGTTTTGCCGTTTTGTCTGTGTGAGTTGAGTCATCGAGTTTATCCTCTTCTTGTTGTCTATCTCAGAAGTCAGCTGCTGCTACTTGCTGCGGCCGATTCAGAGTGCCACGTCAGCTTAACGCGCTCATTTAAAATGGATGTTCTTCTCGTACGGCGTACATTTTATCCAAAAAGTTTTGAACTTGCTAAAGCATGGGCAATGGATTATACGATTCTTATTCCACGGTTTTGGAATAAGAATCGTGGGTTTTATCGAATATTATTTTTTACAATCATTTTTCCAAATTGAGGTCCAATTTGCCGGGAAGAAGAATCTCAATGCACCGTCCATGACTGAGTATATCCGTTAGGCATCTTGCTCAAGGAAAAAAATAATAATAATAATAACACAATTTAACCAATTGAACAAATCAAATTATAATCTTACAGGATAGGATGTTGTTGGAACGTGCTTGTATCTAAAGTGGTTAAAAATGTTGACGGAATCAAACTCTCAAGCGATAACTTGATTTGGATTGGTTAGGTATACGGTTCAATCAGTTTCGATTTGTAGAAAAAATCCAAACCGATGAGATCAGTTGGGTTTGTCGTCTAGGACAAATTTTGAACCAATCCAAATGCGGCCAACAAACTTACCAATGAGTGGTCATACCAAAAAAAAACTGACCAATGAGTGCTGATAAAACTAAAATGAAAAATAAACAAAAATAAATTAAAGAAGCCACCCGTGAATTTGGAGTTAGCCCATCGGCTATGGGTCAAGTCCATTCAGCATTGGACGTCCTTGAATTCAAATCCGGCCCATAAAGCCAAAAAGAATTCCAAGTGGGCTTCGTTTGGCTGAGGGCTAGGCGCGTCTCCTCCCTATATATACATGTCTGTCGAGCGAAGTTTACAGAAGTCGTGTTCCTAGGGTTAGGGTCGCGCCGAACGCCTGAGCAAAATTGGAGATTGCAGAGTTTCTTCAATTTTTTTTTTCCCTCTGTTTCTCTTTGTTTATTTATTTATTTATTGTTGAGAAGGCGAATGGGGCTGGAGTTTGGCTCTTTGGCTTATTGAAAACAGTGCCATAGAGATGAATGCAGCTTCCCTAAATCAACCTCTCAACCTTTTCACCCAAATTCGCTATGGCTTTCTTTCCTTCTAGCGGGTTTCTCTGTTGAGGTTGATATATATATTTTTTTTGTTTCTATTTCATACTTGTTTTTGGTGTATCGAGTGGTAATTCAGGCAGCCCCCTTGCGATGACAATGGCTCGGGAGGCGTTTAACTGCTCGTAAATCGAATTCTTTTGCTCTTCAGACTTGCTGAGAATCTCTCTTTGAAGCTGGTCTAGTAAGCATCAGTACATTTTAACTTTGTTTTCTCAAACCATTTGTATTGGATCGGTTCATTTCATTTCAGGTTTTTTTTCCTAAATAATCACTGATCGTGGGTCTGGTTCGAATCTTAATTTGGATTAAAACGTCTTGCGTCGATCCACCCAGGTGAGTTTTCAGGCCAAATGGAAGACGTTTAGGTTTCGACAGACATTTATGAACATTCACAGAATTGAAGTACAAACAATCCGTGGTTTATTTGAGAATTCTAAAAGGGGATTTCCAAAGAACCCAAAACAGTGTGGAAAACTCCCCCAAGTGGAAAATTTCATCAAGTTCAGGTTAATAAAATGAAACTACAGTGAGTCTGCTAAGAACTGGGAGGTTGAACTAGTTATTACGTGACAGGAGTATAATTATTTTGGACGAGCTTTGGCTCCAACCAATGTAGCTGCTTTTGCTGCCAGTGTTGTAACCCACCCGAGTCTTCCATCATTCTGCCAAACCCGGAAGATTCCCCGGCATTGTAACCGTTGTCATCTGTGTCCATCATTTCAACTTCCTCAGCTTCCATGGGCTCCTCCGACTGACTCGCTGCCAGTTCTCTTGATGCTAGAGGGAACTTAGATGCTGCAACCCAGGGAACAACAGCCAAACAGCCATTTGAAACTTCTTTGTTTTCCTCTTCAGCCACACGATCCTCCGCTGGTTTCAGCGACTTTGAATTTCCCCATGAATAGATATGATCTACCAGAAACAAATTCGTTAGTTAAAAAAGGCATGAATTTGCAGACCTGTTTCATGTAAAGGTTAAATGTGTACTCAAAGTACGCAATCATTCTAGAGCCAGAACCAAGCCACCATTTTCACACATCGACCAGTAGCATTCGGCTAATGTTAAATCATAAAAACTTCGCTATATTGCATTGACAAACAAGTTTTCAATTTCACACAAATCAGAACATTGCTCAGCATTAAGCATTTAAAAATCACCCTTAATCATTAAAAATAAACTTAAGCTGTGTGTTACTACTCCAACACCATTCAAAGAGACTTGGACTCTATGATCAAAGAGACTTGGCTGGCTGCATATGTAATGTTTTCTGAACTCAAGAAACAAGAAAGGGGTCAATTAACAACAATACAGAGATCAAGATTCTTACCCCTTAAACCCGGAATCAAATCTGAACTCACAATCAGAGAGAAATCCCGCGAGTCGGGGGATTTCTGAAGCGGCGGCATGTTCGCGGGGTTATAGAGCACAATTGCTTTCTCATCAGCTGAAGGCAATGGGTCCTTCGGCAAATCATCTGTTTGCATCAAAATGATGCCTTCAGATGGCCTTTCTTCAAACAACTGAGCGGCACTTCTTGGGTCTTCATTTACAGTTGCAAATAAATCAGCATCCTTCAAATTCCACAACAAAAAAGCAGAAAATTACATATTAAAGCGCGAAGAAACACAAGTATCAGAAATTCATCATATCTCTAAGTTCGGAGAAAAGCGCGGCAAAAAAAACCCTAAATTTGTTGAGGATTGAAATGAATTGAAACAAAGACAAATTTTCGGGCGCAGAGAGCTTACCAGTCTCCTGGATTTAGAGAAAGGAAAGTAGAAGGCGTCGTCTACGTCATCATCGAGGTCTTTGCGCTTCATTTTGTGATCCGAAACCCTAAATCAAAATCTCTCTCGCTTTGTCTTCGTAGCGAGCTTGCCTTGCTTCACACCGCCTGTCTTTCTCTTTTTGGGAATTGATTTTTTAAAAACAATTTTTATTTTTGTAAAAGTGGGTGGTTTTTTCTGGGGGTTTCTTCAACCTTCTCTTTCTTTCTAATAAGATTACTTCCCGCCCATAATATCCGGAAAGGCCCAAATTTATGGCGCGATGCTAGCCCAAATATTAATCAGCAGGGCTCAAATTCATCCTCCTAGTGGGCCATGTTTGACAAATGACAACATTGTCAATGACCTACAGCTGCCAGTGTGCCGTTGTCAGTTAGGCCCGTTGGCTGATTCAATGTGTCTGTCATCTTATACCTGAGTTCAATTTCCCTTCATTTAGAGTTATTTTGGAATATCGCTTTGTCAAAAACAATATATATTAAAACTCTCATTTAAGAAATTGAGGCTTAAGCAAATGACTCCTAGTGTAGTGGTTTAGAGTATTTACTCTCTCAGGCAAGGTCCTGAGTTCAAGTCATAGCATCCATGTAGTGTGTGTGAATTTAGTATGTTATTGCCCTTCTCAATAAGAAAGGCCCTAAAAAAAAACAAAAACAAAAAGAAATTGAGGCTTAATAAAATAAAAAACGAGAGGGGACTAAGAATCTCCAATTCCAAAACTCAAATAAATTTTAGTACCAATAACAAATTTAAATTTTTTTGAAATTGAATAGTATCAATAATAATAAATTTATTTATATAAAAAAAAAATAAGAATAGTATAAAAGAAATTAATTAATTAATTGTGTATTGGAGCAGTGGCAATTCTGTAATTTGGAAGACACGTCACAAATGAAGGACATGCTATCGGATAATTGAGATGAAAAGCAGAGCGACACTTACTCTGCCCTGTTTTTTAGAAACTCACACCAAGCCTAATGGCGACGATGATGACTTTCGCCCCCAGGAAGCTCAGTTCTTTACGCATTTTGCCACCCTCACCCTCAACGCCACGTCGTTTGGTCAAGCCTGCACACTGCGCACCCATCCAACAACAACGACAAGAACCAGAGGTACTGAACTACTGCCTTCATTAGAGACTTTTTGAGCTTCACCATTTTCAATTGTTTGTCATCTGACTGACTCTGGTCCAGCTTTTTCCAAGGGTGATGTAGCAGTTCTGTGCGAGGCCTGCAATGGCAGAGGGTGGTTGCTCTGTGATTTTTGCAAAGGCCAGAAAACCAATGTGAAATCTGAGACCAATCGAATCTACCGTCGATGCCCAACTTGCAGAGCTGTAAGTTTGAGGCTTTCCTCCCTAATCCCAGTACTTTTTCATTTGCAAGTTTCAATTTTTATGGAAACCCAGAACAGATTTAAGTGAAAGGTTTGATATTTTTTCATGGTTGCTATTTTTTGCTGCAGATTGGTCAGGTTTTATGTTCAAAGTGCAAAGTGTTCAAATGTGTCACATTCCCAAATTACAATGATGGTGAAGAGGTGTCTTTTTGAGCCTTTAATTTCATCTGGGTTGCTTCCTTATTGATACATATGAATATGATATGAGTTAGGAGGGATTGATTGATTCCTCCACAACTACTTTGATTTTTCGGAGATGGTTTTCATTGTTTTGAACAGCTTATGTTCGCTGTTAAGGTTCTTTTTTCTTTTTCTTTTGGCTCATGTGTAATTTGTTTGAGAGGAAGCAATATTACAAGTGAAAATGGCAAGACCATTTTTATAAATTTTCTAATCCATGTAATTTGAGTAAATTGCAATTAACCACTGAAAAATTAAATACTTGAATGCCTATCTTTCTTGATTACAGAATGTTGAGAATTATAAATGTATCCCTGAGTCCACAATAGCCCTATTGAGGCTCACTACAAGGGTGCTTCTATAACGAGGGGCTATGTCCAATAATAAGTCTGTACTGAATCGAACGGCTGTTAAGGACCCCCTCAATATAACCCCTCACAATAACTCCTCAATCTAGCTTCCCTGCACTACCCAGTGCCTTTTATATAGAAGGGCCAAGGTTTCATCTTCAATGTATGCCAAAATTCATGAATATAAAAAGAACCCATAATGTACATATTAAGAGGACTGAACAATATATTTAAGAGAACAACTTTTTGTTTGTTTCAATGTTCAACTTTTGGCTTGTTTTAAACAAATTGTTTGAGTTTTAGTTTGCGCTGTCACAAAGAACACCAAACTGACTGAAAACAGTTGAAAGTGCTTCTTTTGGTTATTACATTCATAGAATTAAGTGCTTATTAGCATATAAATTTTCTCTACAACTTCTTGAGTTTGAGAAGCCACTCTGACTGAGAGGCCTGATATTAAAATGACAATCGATTGTGCATTTGGTATTGATGCGCTTGATCCAAAGTACCATTGGCTGGCTATTTTCTTTTTTCAAGTTGCAACCAGGACTATAATCTTTGAGGAACATAACTACTGGTGCTGCACAAAACTGACAATTTGTGTTAGCCACTGATTGATTAATATATGTTCCCATGTACAGATATCAAATGGGTGTTTGTTGTATTTCATAAGGTTGCTCTTCGACGTTTCTATATATCTCCATGCTGGTTTGGAACTTTGTAAGGAATCCTAGCATTTAGATTTATTATCGTTTTGTAAGAGATTGATTAAGAGTTACAACTCTAGCACCAGGTTTTCAGGAAACTAGACCTATTGCCAAGATTGATTAATAGTTACAACTCTAGCACCAGGTTTTCATGAAACTAGACCTCTATTGCCAAGAATTATGAAACTGAAGCCGTATTTCACGTGAATATTTTAGGCTTTTGCTACTTGCAAATTGGACCAAAGGGTCATACTCATTACAGACATCATGTGATGATCTGCCTTTTTTACTGGATCTTACTGTGGATTTTTAAAACTTCAAATTGCATTATTTTTTTACAATTCATATGGTTGATTAGTCACTCAAGATTGACACATGGTTTTGCTTCCTGAAGTTTAAAACAAGAAAGTTGCATGTGAATGAACAAAGAGAAACTGTGAAAATCTGCCAATGTGATTTTCGGTGTTTACTTGATGTAAGTGCTAATGGCTGCAATATTATATTGTTTTCTGCATCATAAAGTCTTTAAACTAGACATTTGTCTCTGACTTTCTGCATCAAAGACATAGGATAACATTAGAGGTGTTAATGGTACTCACTTGTACTGATTATAACAGCTAGCTGTCTTATGTTCAAAGCTCTCATGAACCTGTCCTGACAGATATGGTTAAACATTTTTATTGGGGGTGCCATCAGGAGAAATGTTGACCAAGGCTACTTTTTCTTTTGAATGAAGTAATCTCATATTTTTAAATTGTTGGTTTTCCATTGGTTACCTTTTCAGGTCCAATGGATGAATTACGTCTTGCAAACGTTGGCCAGCTTTTGAATTATTATTACATGTCCTTTAGTTGAGAACTTCTGGAATATGGTTTGTGGTTTGGAGTTTTGCAAATGTTGATTGGTGCAATCTTATAAAGTCTTTATTATTTGGTTGCAACTGGCTTTACAGACATGTGAAGACTTTATGTGTAATATGAGTAATGAGCCATCATCACTTGACTCACTAATGAAACTGGTTTAGTTGTTTACTGCATTATCAATATATGCAATTCTGATATCAAAATCCTTGATGATTGACTATGAACCCTTGGATTGGATGCCTGAAAAAACTCATTTTGCTTTGATCCTACAAAATCAGCATTTGCCTCATGAATGAGATTGTTGGTTTGCATCTAGGCTTTTATCGGTATGTGCAGTTCTGTTATCAAAATGTTGGATTTAGATGCCTCAGAAAATAAGATGTTGGATTGGATGCCTGACAAAATGCATCAGAGGATAATTTACACAACTTGAAAGTTCTTCTTCCTCTCAGCTAAAAGAGGAGAGATCTACAGGAGTGAAAATTATGAAAAATAAATAAAACTATCTGCACATTGGGCTTTCTGGGTGGTGAGAAAAGTTAAGCTGGCCTTCTGATGATGAGCAGCACCCCATCATATCATCTTTGTTAAACCTGCATTCTTGCAGATTGAAGAGCAATGTGTCCCTGTCTTCCTCCACCATCTTCAAAATATCTTCAAACACAGAAACCTCACATGGAATCCTCAGAACACCAGTCTGGTGAAACCCAAACTCCTCCTCAGCTTCTCTCAGCAGAATGCGAAAAGCAGGACGACCCAAGTAGTCAGTTGGGATGACAAATCTCTTGAGCTCCTCCCCAACACAAACAGCAAGGTAGCCTTTGGGGACAGCAGCAATGCTTGAGGCCTCAAATGAGGAGGAGGTGGTTTTGTCCGACAGAGAAAGTGTCCTCTTCAGAAACTTGATGCTCTTGCTGCTGCTGCTGCTCATGTTGTGGTTGCTGGTGGAGATTGCTTTTGATGATGAGGAGGAGGAGTTAGCAATCTTTCTCCACTTCTTGAGAATCTGTTGAAGCCTGACAATGTCTCTGATCTTGTTAGATTTCTTTGAATCCATGGTGGTGTTCATTATTGATCTAAGTAAGTAGCTAGCTATTTCTGAATTGCTCCCTTCTCAGATGGGTGCCTTCAATTTATAGCGGTTGAGGGGCCTTTAAGATTATGAATATTATTTAATGTACATTTTTCCATAAAAATGAATTTAGTATTCTTTAGCTTTTTATATTTATAAACTTGTAAACAAACCTACCAAGAAGGTTGACAGTTTCATATGTACACAGAAGTTCAAGTCTCGGGACTGATTTAGACAGGGGCCATTCTCGTTGCATGTAATTGTCCCCCCTTTTCAACTTTCTAGCTTTACAGTTTTGCACCAATACAAGTTTGAGTTTTTTTTTCTTATTTATTTTTTAAAATAATAATTTTGTTGGAAAAAGTTTTAGAATATAAATGAATTTGTTGATTATGAGGAGTAAAATAGCAATTTGTCATCAGTGACAGGAATGAGGATGACTGGTATCAACTCTCACGGGACCTCGTAGCTTTCAATTGTCTTGTTTATTAAAGTTTTCAACTTACTTTTTGGCCCAAGATATTTTCAACTTTTATTGTAGGATTTTACAGCTGCGGTGGTCTTGAATTATTAAGTTTATTTAATTTCATACATCATCAAGCCCTAAGAACACCTCACGTGATTTTATATTTATGTTTTTTGGTTCAAAGAAAAAGAAAGACAAAATAAGACAATAAATGCTCGTTTGGGAGCCAGAATCACTTATGGAGAGAAGTACGTCTCCTGTGCTTCTCTATATAATTACTTTAAGTGATTTTGAGGATAAATTTTTTTAAAAAATCACTTAAAACTCACCTAAAGTTATTATATAGAGAAGTACAGAATCACTCACAAACAAATCATAAGTCTTTTTTTTCCCCAATAAATGATGAAAATAAGTAATGTGTCTAAAATTTTCATCCAAATGCTCTCAAGATTGTTTTATTTGACCTACGAATGCTGCTTACTTAGTGCATAATTTGCATGTTGAAAGCAAAATGTGCATATCATTGAACAAATACAAAAAGCATACTATAGTAGAATTAAGCATGCACAAACATCATGATTGGAAAATATTTAAATTGCAAGTATAACGTGAGCCAAACTAATGATCTAAAATAATTGTCAGACATGGATCTGATATGAGGTCTCTTCTTTAATGTACATCTAAAAAAGCCTTAGGTGTTGAGCATTAGTTGAGAAATTATTGTGCGATCAAACTTTGTGGAATTCACCTAATGGTCGCGTTCCATGATTGAGTTTGTGGTCAGATATAGTTGAACTCAGAGACTTTAACAAAGTCTAAGTTCGAGAAAAATAACGTATTATAATTGAGAATTAATAACATTATGTAACAGTATGACAGTCACACGTAATTTCTTTTACCTTATAATTGCATTTTATGAGTTCGGACATTGTAGAATAAAGCTAAACAAGTTCCTAATCTTAATAACATAACAAGGGCACACTCTTGCATGTATCTACATTAACTCTGCATAGTTAATTATTATGCTTCTATCTTTATATTAACTTTTTATAAGCATTTGTATTGATTCTTGTAATTTATAATTTTTATATTTAATTTATAAATACAATTATCGTTTTTCTCTCGAAAACAAAAGGCACACTCTTGAATCTTCAGTGCATGACAAAGTTGATTTGGCTTGGTCAACCTTGTGCTCACCAAAGTTTGGCAGACCAACTATATATTTTCTCTGTTCTATTTTATGGGCTAGGTATATGAGTTCAAGATTAAGCCAGCTTAGGGTATTCAACTACAATATGGTGATGAATTAAACAAATAAAACCTCAACAATTTCTCACAATTTAATTCAATAAAGATTCGTCTGTTATCTTTTTCTTTTATGTTATTCAATTTTAGAGCCAATGTCCAATAAAAATTGCCCCCCTTAAATCATATGCATCCAAAAATGATAGCATCCAATGATTAAACCAACATCTCATAATATTTTTGAATTTTTTCCTCAGGTTGGGTGTACATGATCTAAATTAATTTATAAAAGTTTTTTTTTAATAAATAAATAATTTATAAAAGTTCTTTGACCTATCCCAATTACCCAGCTAAGCAAGCTAATTAATTAGCTGTCTTGTATAATAAATTGTTAATTAGCTGTCTTCTATATTCTAGAACCCCCTAGAAAGTACCTGCATCTGCAAATTAGTACACCGAAGTTTCAATTATATAAATAAATCCATTTTCATAACTTTCTGCACACATAACATAATTAATATATTTATTATATTATATATACATATAATTTTATTCCATTTACATACCCCACCAACATTCTTTTTTTTTTTTTTTTTTTTTTTTTTTTTTTTTTTTTAAAAGGCAATAGGCGATTTTATTCGAGGAGAAAGATGGAACAAATACAAAAAAGCTATATTTTAGGCAGGGGCGGATCTATTAAGGCGCAAGGAGGTGCAGCTGCACCTCCCTTCGCCAGAAAAACCATTGTAGGTGCTTCAAATTGCCCCTTTGTTCAACTGGTGTACAGATTACCTTATTTCCATTTTCAACATTTAAGTAAATGTCTTTGTCTTTTTACTTTTATTTATTTTTATATTACTCCATTTACTTAAGTTTACAATGTAAATAAGGAAGTACCCCCCATTTGGATTCAAATAAAAATACTAGAAAATCAAATTCCCACCAAATCAAAATATGAAAATTCGGTTTTAGTGCAAAATACGATTTAGGCTAAAAATGATGGCTCATTAAGTCAATATATACTTCATACTAAAATCCCATAAAATCAAGTTTTCTTATTTGATGTATAAGGAATAAAAGCCGCCAAAAATTATCTTGAGAAAATGATTATTCCGAAAAATCATTTTCATACTTAGTCAATATTGCACCTCTGCTAAAAAATTTCTGGATCCGCCACTGATTTTAGGGGATTAGACAAGTGCCTCTACACCCAATTGGCGTTTTGATCTTCTGCTACTAAGTAGCCTATCCTCTCAATTGCACCAAGAATTTAAACCCTTTCAAATAACAAGATCCCTCTCCCCATTGACTTTTAGATTTTGCGTTTAGACTTTGGATTATTATTATTATTGTTTTTATTAATCATTGTTAAGAATGGATAATTAACTCGGGTCAGCAATCATTTTAGTCTGTTTATTTAAATTTTACTTTAAATACTGCATCCAGGCACATGTGGCTCATCTTTTTGCTCCCATTCATACGGGCCGTGCTTCATGGCTTCTCATTAATTCAGTCTAATTATTTATTTATATTTTGCTGCTTCAGCTTGTGCCCATTGTAAGAAGAAGAAAAAACCCAACTCGAACTTGGTTCTCAACGGTGCTTGACCATCACCGTGGATCTTTGATATGAAGACGTGTAGCGAGAGTGTGTAACTCAAACGGTTAAGAGTATAGATTATAAAACACATGATTTATGGTCGACCTTCCTCTCATACGAACTATCGCTTGGATAAAAAATATGTGTGATGACTCATGAGACTAGACGGGAGGATGAGAGAATGAGTTAAGAATGAGTTAAGAATGTAATTAGGTTAAAAGTTCGATCATTTCCGATAAAATGTTGACAGCGTTGTTGGATGTTCAAGTTAGATAAAACCCATGTAAGGTCAAGAACATTTTGTGCTGCAAAGTAGATAAAACACATATAATGCCCAACGTACCATAGCCTGTACGTAGTCCAAAGGAATATGAGGTAAGGCTTTTAGCCAGCCAGTTGGCCCAGAAGTCATTGCCCAAATTCAAGAAAATTTCCATTAATTTTGTAACAATTCAAGACTTTATTTTAAAATAAGTTTATCACATAATGTTACTAATCTACTCGTGTTAAAATACTTATATCAATTTGTTAATAACATACTTTGGGGGCTAATTTTCCCACTCTCATTTTCTCCACTTACACTCTTTTTTGCTTTTTAATACTTTTTAATCAATATTGTTCTTTTTTGTTCTTTCTCTTTCCAATTATACCCTTACTCTACATTAAGGTTTTGATAACTGAAATTCAGAAAAGTTAACATAAAATAAAACAAAAACAAATTTTGGAAATTGATAGAAATGTAAGTATTTGTACGCCAAATTCTTTGTTTTTTTTACCAAGTATGTGAGTACTATTTATCTTTATTGTAGTTAATAGATAATAATTTTTTTGGGCTAACATGTTTACAGGTAGAAGAACTAAAGAACGTTACGAACCAAACTGTCATTAGGAGCTTAGATATGCAGAGAATAAGGTATGCATAATAGTCACATATTTTTATTCTTTCATAATATTAGTAAGTGATTGTATATGCCTTTTTATCAAAGGGAATTGTAGGGTAAAGGTATAATATGAAAGAGAATGAACAGAAAAGAACAAAATTAATTAAAAAGTATTCAAAAGCAAAAAGGAGAATAAGTGGGAAAATTGCCGCCCTATACTTAAGGTAATATCAACCATTACATATAAACACACCCAAAACCCATCATTACACACACTCAAAACCCATTTATAAACACACCCAAAAAGTTGATTTTGGGTGTGTATCTATGTTTAAATAGTGCTTGGGTTTTTTTATAAATACATGTCTATGATTGGATTTATTTATAAATTTGTATATATTATAACACTTGAATTGATAAAGCCAGGTCACGTTGTAGAATTTCTCCCTAACAAAAGCAATATGATATTTATAGGCATTAGAATTTGAATCTCTTTACCTGCCGGCCAAGACTGGCAAAAAACCATTGTGATAATCAAGACTGATCCCTAAGAACATTGGGATGGGTTGGCAGATCACAAGGATTAAGGAATATGTTATTTACGTGTATAATTAGCCAAGAACTAAGACAACATTAGACGGTTGGTTCAGAACTTCAGATGTAGGATTATTCTGGCTTGGCTTGTTTCACAATCCTTTTTGGAATATTAACCCATAAGATAAAAAAAGTTGGGATAAAATTTGTAGAAACTCACCCCACATGAATAAGAATCTTGAGAATCTTCAACTAGCATATTCTCTTTTGATGGGGGTTTCTTTGTTCCTCATTTGTCAAACCGATGAAACTTTGGAGCTAAAATTCTCATTCCAAGTTAGGTAAAATTTATATTGGAGCACTAAAGAGTAATGGCCATCTACATGTATACATAATAGAAAAATCATCTACAAGCTTCTTTCTTTCTTCCTGTGCAAGGAAGGAGGCTGCTAGGAACCTGCAGGTTTGATATTCTTCTATGCTGGGTATCCTGAGAGCACTACTTAGACATAAACAGTGGTCTTATGTGGATGACATGACCAATAGATACAAAGTATTGTTGGCCACCCACTTCTTAAGGCACCCCATTACATATCTCACTGATTGGACATCTCTTTTTTTCTTTCTTTGGTCTTCATTAGAAAATTAATTCCATGATATAATTTATTTTTTTATTTATTTTTTATTATTATTTCAAAACGATTGGGGCGGGGAGTTTACACAAACATTCAATGGGTACTTGGAGATTTCGAATCTCTAAAAGAGGTCAACCAAACTAAGTTGTACCCATTGATAAATGTTTGAAGATTATAGGTGCAGGATAAGGGGGCTTTTTCATTGATGATTGCTGAGGTCTATGCATGCAGGACATGCTTTTTGAATTTCTTTTTATTATCCTAATTAATCATGCTACTATCCCACTACCAATGTTTGGTCTGTTCATCGTGGAAAGGACAAAGACAGTGTCACATTTTGACAAGGTGAGACCCCTTATAGACCCTGATGAGAGCTTCATCCATCAAAGGAAAGATGACCCATAAACAATTCAATCTTGCCTTTTCCTTTTAGACTAGTGTATTGCTATGCTGCATGTCCTAATCATACTTTAGTACTACTTTTCTCATCATATCCATGTTTTTTTAGTACAAGATTACTATAAGATTAGTATTCGTTAGTGGTCATTACCAAAACTTTCAAAGTTTTGTTTTTGGTGGAGAATGAAATGTTTAACACTCAGAATGAAATGTTTAACATGGACACTAATGTGCTTTTATGTTCTTAAACTGTATATATGTATCACACTTTTTGATAAGAAACGACATATTAATGATTTAAATTCACAGGATGACAATACAACATTACCCTTAACACGAGTTTGATGGAGTCTCGAACCTAAATCATCTTCCTGTAAAGTGGAGACAAATACCGTTAGACTAATAGATGGGTTATAATATCGGATATATAAATGACGTTCGTGGATCCATGTCATATATCTCAAAAGATCAATTGAGAACAATTTCAGTTGTTATTATCAAATATGCTGTTGTGTTAGCATGATGATTATGATCATGTTTAAGCAGTACAGACGTAAGAAATTTGAAAGGGAAACGCTCTATCAAACTATCTCCATCTCTCTCTATCCCTGAAATTAGTGGGCAGTGCGTGCACAGTCCCTCAAGACTCATGAAGAAGGCGTGCTCCCTCCTCATCTATCATTTCTTCTTTTCTTTTCTTTTTTTCTGCGCCTTGTCAGACTCTCACTCTGTTTCATGCAGCAACTCCACTCTTTGCATTTAGCCCTGCATTTTTGTTTTAAATTCCATAAACACCACTCTAAATTTATGTGGAACAGAAATTCCCAAACCTAAACCCACTTGATATTTGTGGTAACTAAGTTGCCCATATCCTAAAATAATGCGGTTTAATCCCAAATGAAACTTTTATGCCCCCTCGTTGTACTGGTTCGACTTTAATTTAATAAAATTTGTCCTCGTATCGTACAGATTCTACTAAAAAAAATATTCTCAAATGAAAGATAACCCAAATTTTGTCAAATCCTTTTGATTCGTTGCAAATCAGTCTTTGAGCTCATCCTTTGTTGGAGTGCATGCCAAGAATATTTGGTGTTCACATTGTTTTAGCCTTTGTAAGCACACACAAAGGGTATTTGCCATTCAGCTTTCCTTCTTTCACACATCTCATTCTGTTTTTTCAAGCACCAACCAGCAAAATTGCGTCTAAATACCAATTTAATGTACGTCAAATTGGCGTATCGGGTTCCAACAAAAAATTATGTGGGGCAAGCAAAAAGAAAAATCACTAAAAACACATCAAGGATATAAAGGAGGTTGGCAGATGGGAAAAACACCAAAACAAAACCACACCAAAAAAAAAAGGAGAGAGAAAAAAAAACTAAAGCTGGGCTCACCCACATTATTTGGCTCGTGTCTGTAATTTAGCAATAAAGTGGGGGGGTTTGCTTTTCCCTACTTTGATATTGTTCATTTTATTTATCTTTGTTGCCCATGGATTCTATGAGGTCGGGTACTGAATTACGTTTTTAAACAAGTCCACATTCATTTCCCTGTGTAGACTTATTATATATATACAGCTGCCCAAGCACCCAAGTGGAGAGATCAAACATTATTATAAGAGCAAGAGAAGAGCACCCAAAGCCCTCAACAAAGAGAGAGAGAGAGAGAGAGAGAAAAAGAAATGGAATGGAGGAAATGCTACTTGGATGTAATTCTTGTACCACTAGGGTTTCTGATAACTGCTTCTTATCATGCTTGGTTATGGTATAAGGTTCGGAATGAGCCAGAGTCTACCATCATCGGCATAAACACCAATGGACGACGATTTTGGGTCTCCGCAATGATGAAGGTACGCAATACTTGTACTCTATTATTACTTTGGTAATACATTAAAACTATTTGTATCATCTTAACTGACCCACTATATTTCTAACAAAATGATCGTCTTACACTAACCTATGTGAAACTCACAAGGTGGTACAAATAGAAAAAACCACAAAGCGTGCATGCATTTGCGTATCGTCTCAGTTTATCAGATCTCTTGTTTATTACATTTCTTATCCCCACATCATATTATATTGTTAGATTGTTAATTGAAAGTATTTTTCTTGTGTCTATTCTTCCATCTTCACAATATAACCATGACAGATTCTTCCATCTTCTCAAAACTTCCCTTTGGGTCTTTTAGTCATCCAACTATACTTTGCCTTAATGCAATCTGATTAATCTAGCGTTACAATGATTCGACGTGGCACGTAAGAAACCAAGCATATTTCTCATGACTCGTGCATATACCATTATCCCTCACAAGGTGGTCAGTGGGAGCTTCTAATCGTTGTTTCATCATCATCTTTTAGCCACAATTAATAAAAACATTTCGAAGTGGTTTCTTGTTCATCACATGGATGATGGGCCACTGTTTTTATTTTATTTTATTTTATTTTATATTTTTTGAGGTTACTAGGCATATTGGATATATAAGTGAAGATTAATTGCATGCCACCATGCTTATATTCTTACATCACTAACCCACTCAGCTCCTATTGCATCACACGTCAGCTCCTGCCTCAATAATGATGTGTCTACAAGGCATTTCTTGGTACCAAAATGTTTAAAAACCAAGCTATTTTGTCGGCAAAATGTTTATCTCGTCAAACAGTCTAATATTTTTGTAATTGATAAAACTGTTTTTGTTTTTTTAAATATACGCTGTTAAATTGATAATCTAACAACATAATATATGAATATTTATCAGGACAATGAAAAGAAAAATATCTTGGCCGTCCAAACGCTTCGGAACACAATCATGGGGTCAACCCTAATGGCCACCACCTCAATCCTTCTATGCTGTGGCATAGCAGCAGTGATAAGCAGCACATACAGTGTGAAGAAACCGCTCAACGACGCCGTTTACGGGGCTCACGGAGAATTCATGGTGGCTCTAAAATACGTGACCCTACTCACACTCTTTCTCTTCGCATTCATGTGCCACTCACTTTCAATCAGGTTCATAAACCAAGTGAACATCCTAATCAACAGTCCACAAGACCCCATGTCCTTGGTCACCGCAGATTACGTGTCTGAGCTTTTGGAGAAGGGTTATTTGTTGAACACTGTGGGGAACAGGTTGTTCTACGCAGCTCTGCCTCTTCTGCTTTGGATCTTCGGGCCAGTTTTGGTGTTTTTGTGTTCTGCCACAATGGTGCCTGTGCTTTACAACTTGGACTTTGTGTTTAATTGTACTGAGAAGAGGAAAATAGATACTGGTAGTGAAAATAGGGCCGAGTTTGTATGAATCGGCCACTTATTTTTAGAGCTCCTTGCACAGTGGGTGAGGGCGGATCAAAGTGAAGATGTTGGTGCATGGTATAATTAATTAGAGGGAAAGAGGAAAGAGAGAGTATTACCGAAGCTGAAGAAATTGTATAAATTAATGCAACCATGTCATCTTTGATCCGATTTATATTGGTATAAATGAATGTCATATTGTCGTTGTCTTTTTCTTCCTTAAAGTTTTGGCCAGTATTTATTTGGGAAGACTAGCACACATGATGATGTCAAAAACAACATCAATTGCTCCTTCAGACAAAGTTACAGTTAATAAAGATTAATCAATTACTCCCTCGGACAAAATTCTGAATTCGAATCCCGTTTAAGTAGTATGATTTGAATTTAGACGTCTCAAATCTAAATCACTCAATCCAAACCAACCCTCAAACTGTTCGACAAATACATCAAATTTCCCTTATGATATAAAGATACATAGACGACACAAAGAGAGTGGAGGAGGATCTGAATGGGTTGCATAACCCCACGACATGGGACAAATGTCCGATGTTTCCCATCATCCATATCTATGATCCTTCTACCAATTGCCCTTGTCATTTCCATTTCAATCACTTCTCAATTCTTGTAGAGACGTACACGAATAACACCTAGTAAGATATTGTGTTTCGTGATCATAAGAGCACTATATAGACATAAATCCTTCATTTAAAGATTTAATTTGATCTTCTCAAATATCTCCGGGGCCTTGGTTGCTTTTTTACCAATAAATGTTATTCTAAAAATAGAATATATGTGGCGTAAAGCAAATAGAGTGGATCATCATTTAGCTAGTGTGTACGTTGTTTTATAAGGGTATTTTTGAATAATATTTGATGTGTTCTATCAAAATAGGATCTATTATTTTTTTTTCATTTTTTTTAATATAAAAAAGTGTGAATTTACCGTATTATCTTCATTTAATTAATAATTTCAATTCTTAATATTTGTATTAACCAATGGTATTTTCTGATATTTTAAATGTTTTATCATTCTTTACTTTTTGCTTTATATAGAAGATGATTGTAATTGGAGTCAGGTTTTGCGTTCCATTGTTCATTTTTAATTAATCATTAAATTCTCTTAGCTCCGGCTAGGTTTTTCACCCCAAAAAAAAAACAATAAAACGACGTCATCTAGAAAATATATATTTTTGGTTGGTATAGTAATAAAAAAAGTGAAGTGTACAAAAAAGAAAAGTTAATTTCAAATCTGACGGAAAATCGATGGCCAGATCACAGTTGCCTTCTTCGCACGCCCAAAACCCAGTCCTCTGGGCGATTTCAGGTACTACAGTCGACAATCTCATGTTTTGATTTCTCTTCGATTTTTTGTCTTTTAACTCTCTGTGATTTTGCATAAACCTCTGTTATTTGCTGCTCTTCTTCTTCTTCTTCTTCCTCTTCCTCTGCTTCAATTTTGGCTTTCATTGGATTTTGGCTTGCGTTGGTTGCTTTGGCTTTTCATGTTTTTGTATGAATGTTCTTAGCTAGCTTAAACTAGTTCTATTTCAACTATATATATGCATAGAGATGAAAATTTGAGTCCCAGCAAAGCAAACGGCAGTAGCAAAACACCTTGAATTGCACTTTCTCCTTTGAAAACATTCGAATATCAGTCTGTTGTTTATTTTTGTTGTCAATATGAAGTTCATGGCCACAATGCTAGATTGAATAGCACCAAATAGCTTTGAGCATCTTGGTACTGTGAGATAATCTTGATTTGGGTCTTTTCACAACAGGTAGATATCTGAGGGCAAATGGTGAGGTTTGTCAATAACAAAATGTTGTTCTGAAATGTAAAGGGTAGGCTCTGGTTGATGCATATATTCTTATGAGTCAGAAAACAAAAGGGTACCTAGAGATGTATTCGCTGCCAACAAATTTTGTAATTCTCATGTTCTTATTCTTCTTCTACTTTGGAGATGTTCTTGTGCTATCTCTCCGTACGCTTTCCATGGATCCTTGCAACCCCACAGCCCAACAGAAACAACAAACTCTCATCTCGGATCAACTAACAGTCCTCATCAATGGTTACTCCGAGTCTCGCATCCCTCTCCTCCAATCCATTGTTGCCTCATATGCAGCCTCATCTTTGGTCTCCTCCATTCTTGTACTCTGGGGAAACCCTTCCACCCCATCCCAAACCTTGGCACAACTGACTCACAATCTCACACAATCCTCATTTGGGTTTAATGGCATCTCTGTAATCCGCCAAACATCAGGCAGCCTCAATAATCGGTTCCTCCCCAGACCCTCAATTAAGACCCGAGCAGTCTTGATCTGTGATGACGATGTTGAAGTTGACCCTAAATCCTTCGAATTTGCTTTTAAAATGTGGGGATCAAACCCAGACCGTCTGGTTGGGTTCTTTGTCAGGTCACATGACATAGATTTATCAAAGAAAGAGTGGATTTACACCATTCATCCAGACAAGTACTCAATCATGCTCACAAAGTTTATGCTTTTGAAAAGCGAGTATTTGTTTCAATACAGCTGTGCAGGAGGACCGGTCATGGCACACATGAGGAGGATCGTGGATAAGATGAATAATTGCGAGGACATATTGATGAATTTTGTGGTGGCGGATGAGGTTAATTCAGGGCCTATATTGGTGGGGGCTGAGAGGGCTAGGGATTGGGGGGATGCACGCAATGATAATGATGATGGTGATGGTAATGGTAATGGACGGCACAAATTGATTGGGGAGGTGGCACAGGTGGGTTTGAGTAGTAGGAAAGGAAATCATAGGAAGAGGAGAGGGGAGTGTATAGGTGAGTTTCATAGGGTGTTGGGGAGAATGCCTTTGAGGTTTAGTTATGGGAAGGTAGTCAACTCTGTTGGTGAACAAGGGCTGTGTCAAAAAGGGGGGAAATTGGTGTTTTGTGATCAGTCATAGTTGTTTTATTTTTCTTTTCTTTTTTTCTGGGAGAGCAGAAATATTGAAATCTTAGAAGGATTGAAATCTCATAAGTTGTATGATGGATTGCCCTTGTTCTCCATTCCATCAAAGGAGCAAAGGGTTATTGTTGTTGTTATTGAGTTCATATTTTTGTACTTTCAATACCAAATAATTCTGAACACAGTTGCTACTATGTTTTACTCTAAAGCAACTTGAGGCAAGGCTTGAGGCTCTTTTGATGGAAAACAAGGAGTATGCAGATGCTTTGAACGAAGTCCCATGGATTTGCTGTGCAAAATCATGTGAACGGTGCTGATGAAGTCTCCAAAGCAGGCCTGCAATATGTGGTGACAGAGTTAGATGCCATGAAATTCGTTGCAGATGCTCACAGAAAGCAATCCTTGAAGTTGCAGATATTCCTCAGCTGATTGAACAGCCTAGCCTACTGATCATGTTGTTGAGAATTGTCTCATCATATTCCATGATCGAAGGAAGACGGATGCGGTCCACCCTGCAACTTTAGAAACCATTTACAACGTCGGCAAAGCCGTGGGCAGTCTCTATATTAGTTCTGTCAAGATAATGGCATGAGATTTCCCATTTTTTTGTTTGTGGGAAGCTGCTTCTTGTTGCTGGGTTCATTTGTTCCACAGTTTCTGTAGACTTTGTAGTTGAGATAGATCAACCAAAGAAAATGCATATAGGCTCTGAGGCTTTGTGACTGTTGTTGTTGTTGTTATTTGACCCAATTGAATGGCTTGGCTGCTCTAGATTTACTATATGATTGTCCCTTTAACATCTATAGTTACTTTACATTAAGAAACCTCATAATTCACATAAAATAAAGTTTTACCTCAACCCTTGAAAGCTTTAATTTCATTTCTCTTGGAGCAACACTTGGATTGGCTGTGAATAAGTACATGCAATCAGCAAATCTCATGAATCCAGGAATGCTTGGCCTTGACCCCACGAGCCAAAATTGCTTTTCTTCAACAAAATTCGGTTCCTACTTTTGTTGAAAAAGTGACAAATAATGTTTAAAAATTGCCAAATACACTTAGGTGTCATGCTAGAGGCCCTTTCGCACCCTTTTTCCATATCAGAAATTGGCTCTCGCACGTTCTTTGAAACGATTGGGTTCCTTAGATTTTGGGCTAACTGCATATTTTGGAAAAAACGGGTCATCAATCTTAGCATGTAAAACGAGTGCCTCATTAAAACCGGCAAACTACAAGGAGACATTTTGCCTTTCCTGGTGCCACTCATATTCTTCATCCATTTTATTTATAGAGGTAATGGGGTTTCTTGAATTGCCCTTTCTGCCTCTAGTATTAGTACAATTCAAACATTTGGTTGGGCCACTGCCTAGAGGGCCTCCCTCGGAACACCCCTTGAGACATGCTTGAACATTGGAAACCCTCCATGTGTAAAGTAGGAGTGCAAAAATCGCTAAATGCATAACCTCTAAATGCGGAGGTTCGGGATCCCTTCCCTTTACAAACAGTTAGACACCCTACAGGTGAAGAATCACTTTGCTAGCTAACCGGAATTTCTGCCGACCTTGTTGAGTAAAATGAGATAATATCTGGGAACTTTATATATAATTGTAGTGTAGGGCCATTACCACTAATGAAATTAGTAGAAAACAATAAACCCATAAATGGAACTGACACAAACACTGAAGTGACCCAAAGGTAAACTGGAAAAAGAAGGGCAAGAAAAGAATTAGGAGGGCTCTACCAGTCCAAAGCAAACGAAGACCCTAGACATAATTTAGGACACCTCACAAGAAGGCCTTGTCCTACACGTGATGCAGTAATACCACAAATAGAATTTAGAGAGAGAAAATAAGTCCATTTTCGGTACACATAATTAGAGAATTAAGTCCATTTCATCATCATGAAACTTAAAAAAAATATATAAGCGATAGTCTAAACTATAAGGGAGATAGTTTCTCATACACACTATTAAAGTGTCATGGAATTCGAACTTGAGTTCACTGGTTTACAAATCAAAGTCTTTTTTCACTGGATTAGACCCCGTTGACCATCATCATGAAACTTAATAATACCACAAAGACAATTTAGAAATAGAAAATCAGTCCAAAAACATAATTAGAGAATTAAGTTTTTTTATTTTCCTTTTTCTTTTTAATGAGAAGAATTAAGTAGTCTATTTCGTCATCATGAAACTTGTGATTTTCTTTTGGCCACTTGGCCATTTTAATATTTGCAAGAAATTAGACCACTTTTGATGGTGGTGGCTCTGACGTGGGGGCTTTTCTGATAATTCACCTTAAAAAAGTTAGGTATCACCTGGTCTTAATTAAGAGCAAATAAAGTCGTGGAAAAAAAAAAAAAGCAAAGGTCATTACTTTAAGCACAAAGAAAGTGAAGGAGGAAACCTCCTTTTTAGCAAGGCATACAAAGCATCTACCAGCATCTTTGTGTTTTTAGGTCGGTGCTTGTCCAAATCAAGCCCCCCTCATTGCTTTGCCCCCCACTTAAAATAGTCCTTAGAGATCCACTCTATTTACCTAAATACACCACAAAAGCCTTTATGCTTGCCTTCACGGCATTAATTTATTCATGCCTTTGCATCTAGGGCACACTTAAGATGGAAGATTACATAAGGTGGATCATTGGTGGTTTTTGACTGCATTTCATTGGTGGCCACCATGGTTTCAAGCTTATCCAAATTCACTAAGGAATTAGAGTCTTTCCTTGATCAAATTCTCTAATTCAATCTTTATCCAAGAAATTATAACTCTATATTTTGTAAACAATTCATAGTCATCCGTGAGCATGAACATCAAAGTTATCCGTGAGCGTGAAAGATTGATGTCTTATTTGTACCCTGAACCCATGAAACTATGTCCAATTGAGAGAAAATACTAGCCTAGCATTACCAATTGAGAGAAATTTGAAATTGTTATAGCTCTTCATACTATTAAAATCATTGAAACTACGTCCAATTCCTATGGACAATGACGTGTCAAGTAATAACAACCAAATCGAGAAAGGGCATATCATTATAATAATTCATTAGGTGACTTCGCATGATAGTAAGTCTAACCTATTTAAATATGTGGACCCAAATATAATCTTTCAACTAATTTCACCTTCAATTTTATCATTGGTCCTGTCCAAATAAACAAAATTGGTATTGGTCTTGGAAAATTTAGTCTAACTTTCCTAGTGAATTACAACTAGGACAGTTACTCATTCCAAATTCTTTTTTTTTCCTCCTAACCCTCTTACTATAATGTAATATTTTCATAAAGTTTGGATGTTACGTGATCGCATTCTTAATTCAAAACCATATACTAAAACATAATTTCGTGTACATAATAACTTTAAAATATTATCAGTTAGTTTTTATTTGGGCATATTTTTCTTCTTAATATTAGAAGAGATTTCAAGTTCGAACACGCCACGGCTTCATCCATCCAATAGTAATCAAAAGAAAAAGGGTAAAATATTACTAGGCAATTACCTATTCAATGTCTCCTTTAGCTCTCAGTCACAAGTTTTCTTGCAGACTGTGGACCTAAAAACACCTAGCAGATTCAGGTGAGCCCACTCTAAATCAACTTGTTTCGTGTCAGCATCCTGATTCTTTCTAGATTCTAGGAATCAACGGTTCAGATCTTCAAAAATTATAAAATATGAATTGCATTACTTGCACACGAAGAACCCGCCATGCTTAATTACCATACCACCCACGATCCGCCAAGTCGAAAACACACAACAAAAGAACAAATCACCCCCGCCATTTCGCCCAACGAGGGAGGGTATTTTGGTAATCTAAAACACACCAAACTTTTAACTTCATGTGCCGCCCACTTTTTCTTTACGTACTTTGCCTCATGGCCCTTTCCTATTTATACCTCCCTCCGTCTGTTCTATTTCCCTCCCCCTTCCCTCTTTCTCTCTCTGCTAATCTCACCGGAGGTAGCACAGACAGCGCCCAATGGAGCAGAAACACGTGGCGATGTGCTCCGCTGCGCACTCGCAACTGACGTCGTCGTCGCTCTTCGCATGCGCCGAATTGAAGCAGAGCACCTCGGAGTTTTCTCTGAGCGAGGCTCTGGAGTTTCTGGATAGGTCCATGATTGGTCAGGAGGCCGCCGATACGCAGAGCCACCGGGATGAAAAATTCGGAGAATTTCGGGCTCACGTGAGGGACCGGAATTTCGATGATACGGAGGGTCTTTTTGGCGACGTTTGCGCCGGTGACGTCTTCGCTTTCAAAAGCCGGGTTAGTCACACTCACTCACTCTCTCATTCGTTTTTGGAAACCGGGTCTGTTTGTCTGCCACGTCAACGTCATGACGTGGCATTTAATATTTTGGGCCCTAAAACGTCGTCGTTGTGGCGTTGAGAATGAATATTGAATGAATAGTGTTATATTTATTTGCCAAAAAAAAGTAGTGAGATATTTAGATAATTAATGAAAAACATTTTAGGTAGCTGGTTACATCACGCATGATGAGAGGATGGAGAGGCTCATGTCAATTAACATATAGAATTCCAACATCCTATAACAAATATTTATATATATATATAAAAAATTAAGAATTTAGTTATGGGACCATGGAAACTTAAAATATGTTTTTGATGATTATTTTGTTAATCCCATGTCAAATGAAAGCAACCCAATTACCCGTTACATCTTAGTTGTTAGTGCTTAAACTTAGTCAGAAGATAATTGAAGTTTGAATTTTCTGTCTCTCGTAAATTTAAAAGGAAAAAAAAACTTGTCCATGAATTTTTTTAACCATTAATTTGAGCCCAATTGAGTTAGGTTGTGGCCAGTAGCCACTGGCACACAACACGTGTTTATAAAAATAAGGTGGATGTTGATACCTTGTGTAAGCACAACCAATTGGGCATCCACATTATTTAGTTCATTTTTTTGCCTTGTTATTTTATTCCCTTTTAGTGTTTTATATTATTGATTTGTTTTCCATAAATAAGTCAGTGTCTCAGTGGTACAGTGGGTGGCTTTTGAGACTCTACCAAAAGTTCTTAGCAGCCATTACACGACAAGGATAAAATGAAGTGTCAAATTTTGATTTCTAGCTAAAGCACATGAATTCACAGTATATAGATATATTCCATAAATGCAGGACATAATGAATGGTTTTTCGAGCAGCGGTGAACTGACTGAAACCCTTCTCTGCACTCAAAATCTCACTCCAAAGAACTCCAGCATCTCAGCAACCATGGATTCTCAGTCCTCAATATGTGGTATGCTTTATGAAACATCAAATATATATATATGCACCTTTACACTTTGCTTGTGTGTGTGTGTTCATGTACTTTTATGTTTATCACTTTGGATTTGTTCTTGAGCAATTCCTGGCTTGGTTTTTTGATGTGTGGTTTTCAGTTGGCAGTCCAACGTCGGCTGCTAAACCGATTGCCGGAGATAACCAAGCAAGAGGAGCCGAGAGTGGTTCCTCTGGAGACCAGTCGGATGAGGATGATTTTGAGATAGAAGCTGGTCCATGTGGAGATAGCACAGACCCCCTTGATATAAAACGCATTAGAAGGTATTTCAAGTTCTCTTTCTCTTGTTTTTGGTCTTTTAAATGTTGAGATACTAGATGGAATTGATCTAAACTGCATTACCTTGTCACTACCCTGCAGGATGGTCTCGAATAGGGAGTCTGCAAGGCGATCAAGAAGAAGAAAGCAAGCACAGTTGGCAGATCTCGAGTTCCAGGTAGGAAATGTTCTTGTAATAACTTAGTGTTTGAAAGACTACCAGAACATAGAAGATCGAGCGAAACGATGGTTTCTGTTTCTCTGTTTTATTAAGGATTATGCATGTATCCCATATTAATCAGAGATAAATTAAGCATCATCATAAATCTGATTTCGAATTCGATATTACTATCTTCCGACAGAAGCTTTCGTTTTCTTTTTCTTTTTCCTGTTAAGTTTGTGATTGTTCATTGTGTAATTTGAAGTCTGATGGAGAAATTGAATTCATGGTTCCTTTCAGGTTGAACAACTGAGAGGAGAAAATTCAACCTTATATAGGCAGCTTACGGATGCTTCCCAACAGTTCCGTGATGCTGATACGAATAATAGAGTGCTGAAATCAGATGTGGAAGCTTTGAGAGCGAAGGTATAGGATAACGTCAGAGAGTCTGTTTAAGCACAGAACTATCAAACACTTGGGGAAAGAAAGCAATCGAGACTCCGAAAAAGAGAAGATTTTTTTTTTTTTTTTTTTTTTTTTTTTTTTTTTTTTAAAACAAAAATGTAGGCTCAAAGAGGTTGGGAAGGCTTTAAAACAGAGCCTCTGGCCCTCTGCTGTCCTTTGTTCTCGCAAGTGAAGCAGTAGATTTATAGCCAAACAAATGACGAACAAATTTAACATCATGTTAAAACATAAACAACGTTGCTATATTACCACGAGACAGTTCTAAAATGTTTTAAGGAATATTATCACTAAAGAAGAATCATTTCATTTTAGGTGAAGCTAGCTGAGGACATGGTTGCTCGGGGATCTATAACCTCTAGTTTGAATCAAATTCTTCAAGGCCATCTAGGCACGCCACAACAGTTCAATCCTCATAACCTGCGTGGGGTAGCACACGTCTCGCCAACCATCACCATCCACGGAGATGAGGCTCGATACGCTGGAATGGCAGTCTCCGGGCAGAATGGAGGTCTTGGACTTGGAAATGCTGGTATGGCTAATAGCAATCTGAGCAACAGAATCATGAGCGATACCGTAAGCTGCGTTTCGGATGTGTGGTGAAGAACTCCTGAAAAGGATTGAAATGCCTTCTTGTCAATTATGTATGCTGTAGCCTGTAGGCAGATTTGTATGCAGTTTTTAGAAGTGTGCCCTTTTTTCTTTGTTGTTTTTCTTTTATGGTTTCCTTCCTAGCCTGTATGTCTCATGTAAAATTTAGTGATTCAGTGAAGAAAAAAGGTTGCTTTCTAAATTTAATTTCCACTTCCTACACTGCTCCAAGTCAAACATAGCTTTCTTCTTCTTCCTTTTTGTTTCCTCTGTGTAATAATTGAGCTTGCAAAGAGGAAGAAGATCATGCTGCCAACTGTGCTTTTATAAATATGGAAATCTTTTTTTTTCTTCCTGTAATTATTATTTTGAAGGCATTGAAACCGCGTTTTGTAGGCAAAGCAGACAAATCCAGGGTTGCACGCATGCGCACCCCAAACTTTGATGTCAAAGCTTTTTCTATATTCATCAAAGCTTCTGTCCCTTCCACTTTTGATGGTGCTTGACTTGTGAGAGAGTGTGCAGCCAACTAATCAAGTCAATACAACATGTCAAACACTTCACCCTTAATGATTTTTATGCACAATATAATATTTTAAAATCTGCATAAATCTGAATCTACATTGTTAATATCATCCCATAAACTATATAATAAATGCAAGATGTATACATCATTTTGACATGAAATTGTGCGATGAGTTGTTGGGGTTCTTATTGCTTTACTTTCAAAAGATAATTGTAGGCTTAGTGTGGAGCATTCTAATTGATTTGTGGCAGTTTGGGATTTGCTTATGTAGCAAGCACTTCTGCTCTTTTTTTGTTTTGTTTTTGTATTTTTTTTGTTTTTGCAATAAGTCCTTCTATGACCTAGAATTACGTTTTTAAGGTTTTTTTGCCAAACAACATCATAAACGCTTTTGATTGTTAGAAAAAAAATTTAGCGCTCAAAATCAGTCTCAAACAAGCCCTTGTGACCAATCTTGGTTTATGCTTCAAATTTCTGGGAATTTTGTTTCAGGTTTTTTAGCAAGTTATAGAAAAAAAAAAAAAAAGAAAAAAACAGTTAACAAATAATTGGGCATTGCTGATGGAAAAGATTTTGAATCCATTTCATATACAAATTGGTACAACAGATATTGTTGAGGAAAAGAATAAGCAATGCATTTCTAACATTTTACCCCCATCATCAACTCAAACTCAGCAAAATCAACCTTCCCATCCAAATTCACATCCACAACCCTCACCATCTTCTCAATCTGATCCATATCCCACCCACTCCCCAACCCCAAACACTCCAACACCCTCTTCAACTCCACAGCCTCTATAAACCCATCACCATCCTCATCAAAAATCTTGAATGCCTCGAGTAAAAGCTCATTGCGCTTGGACCCATCGTCCTCCTCCTCCAAACCACCAAGAACCTCCTCCACTGGCACCTCATGATCATCCCCTGGCAAGTCGAAACTCGACTTGTCTTCCTCATGACATATCAACCCTAGATTCTCCACCACCCGCCGCGCATTTTCCTTCTTAATTCTTCCATTGGTTTCCATCCCAAAGACTGTGATCAGTGCCCTTGCCATAGACTCATCAACTTTGCTTGCATTTTGTGGCTTGCAACTGCCATTTTGTGGCTTGCATTCTGTGCTTGGCCTTGAGACCCCTCCAAAGGCTTGAACCAAGTCCCCAAGTAACCTAGAGCAAACTCCAGTTATTCCCATAATGCCCCTATATAATATATATACACCCCAAGAACACTAAGGAAAGTGTTGAAATATAGAGAAATGTTATGTGCGATTTCCTCCATGGCTACTGTCCACAGTTTTATAGTGTTGGCCATGAGAAAAAACCCTGGTTGTTTTGGTGAAACTACATGAATGCCATTGCAACAATAGTTTATTAATTGTGATAATTGTTTGTTTGATCGATCTTTAAGATTCTTAATATAAGCTGGCAACTGCTATATTGAATATGAATTTGTGTGTGGCATTGATGCAATGCAGAGAGGACACTGTCATAATTGTTTTAGAGTTTGGTCGGTGTATCAGCAACATTTGAAAGAAAATAACAGAGAGGAAGGTCTCGAGATTGTGGCAAGATCCCATATAATGGAAATTTGGATTATCTTGTTATTGTTAATTAACTTTTAATCTAAATTGTCCATTAGAAATATCTAAAGCTAGTTTCAGTATGTTCAATCAACAAAATTCATTCTTAACGAGGGTAGAAATAGTGACATATCACCGTGCTATATCACAAGTGATGAATTTTAAAAAAGAGAAAATGAGAGTCGAATTCTTGACAAGAGTGACTCAGTCTCAAAGAAAATGAAAATAGCAAATATATAGCACTTGGTTGAAGCATGGAGTCATGGAGGACACTGATAATGTTTCTTCATAACTAAAAACCCAGTTGAAGATAATTTAAATTACTGAAGGGAGCTCGAAAGAAATGAAATTTATTATTGCAGATCAATTTCCTCCAACTACTTTTTTATTGGGGGTGAAAATTCCTCCAACTATTTTAGAGAGCACATGAAGGGGCAGAAAACCGCGTTTTTGTTTTTATATATTCCGATATTCGTACTTGCAACAATAAATTATTCCACCTATTTACCAATTAATTATTGTTCTTTGTCTAATCGTCTGCATACACTGGCCATCATCTCACGTGGGATCTGCTACACTATTTAAATCTTCCTTCCCAACTTTCCATGTGGTTGTGGATTTAAATTAAAAATTCAAAAAATAATACACAAAAACAGAAAAGAAAAAAAAAAAAAAGGTTTTTTTGACTATTCATTTAGGGAGTTATTTATCATTATCAACTTTTTCTCCTTTGCGTAAAAATATAAGAAAGAAGTGAAAAATGACTTTTAGGCCCTGTTTGGTTCACGGAATGAATTTGAGGGGAAAATCATTTTCCAAGGAATGGGAAATGGAAGATTCATTTCTTACGTTTGGTAATGTTTGGAAAGTAACTGGGAGATATCACTTTATTTCCTTTCTCATGTTTGTTTTGAGTAGGAATGAAAAACAAAGTTTGTATAAATTTTCAATTATACCCATATTAAATCAAATAAAAAAATACATTTAATGATATATTGTAATTATAAATTGTTAATTGGGAGAAAATGGTCCTGAAAAATATTTATTTAATATTGGCTTATTTTCCCAAACTTTCTCTTGAGGAGGGAAAACAAAACCCAAGTTGGAAGGATGACTTCACTTTCTTCCCTACTTTCCCATAGGTCAAGAAACGATTTCCCATGCCTAGACTTACCAAACATGGAAAAACAATTGATTTCCCATTCCCAAGTCTCCTTTCTCATAAACCAAACGGGCCCTTAAGAGTATCCACAGTGGAGGGATGTAAATTTGGGGGTGTAAAGTCACTTTTACATCCCCTTTACACCTCTGGGGGGTGTAAATATGTTTTTTGCTCCAATGGGGGGTGTAAATTCGGGGGTGTAGCCGTGGGTCCCAGCCTTTTATGTTGACTTTTCTTCATTTTTCTTCTCTTTTCTCGGGTGAGTCCCACCTGCAAGGGATGTAAAAATAGATGTAAATATACATTTCATTTTACATCCCCATGGTGGTGATGTATATATACATCAATTTACATCTCCCCATTGTAGACGATTCCGGTGACTCGGGATGTATATTTAACACACCCCCATATACACCTCCCCACTATGGATGCTCTAAGAGCATTGAATTACAAATAATGTCATCCTCTTGTCTGTGAGTTCTACAACTAATCATAAACCATATAAGAGAATCTTTGAATTGGGTAATACGCTTTTATTTTTCTTTTTGTAATCACTAGAATGAGAGATTCAAATTTGAGAACTATTTCAACGTTAAAAAGAGAAATATCACTAGACTAATAAGGGGAATAGATCCGCGATGATGTAACTAACAAAATAACGGCAACAAGGAAAATGAAATGAAATGAAAAGGAATAATCTCAAGTGAGCTCAAATTTTCACTTTTAGTAAACTGTACTGTTTAAATTACAATCACTATAACTATAAAGTATAATACTATATACACTCATTCATGTGGGGGTAAAACCAGTAGTATTTGGAATCAAAATGTGTGATACAGGTTATAATGGGAATGAAGGGGAAAAAAAAAAAGGCTTATAAATTTCCAGCCTCAATTGATCAAAGGTTTTCCCACCTCAGATCCGCTTTCTGCGAATTTTGAATAATCCTCTGGCACTGGGATATTTAACTCTGAACAAACAAACTGAATTATCCTTCCAGTCGCAGCTCCAAATGTCATTTTATTCACAGTCACAGCAATGGCAAACCTGTTTTCTATATCAACAAAACCCGTGGATCCACCCATTCCCGAGTGTCCAAATCCACTAAGGGACCCGTCCTTCGAACGATACCTCTTAAACCCAAGTCCAAAGTTCCCATCTGGCTTAACCAAATTTGCATATTCCCCCACACCCAAGAAAGCATCATGAATTCTGGGGTTGCTAAAGATCTTACCATCATTGTCTTTTTTGGGACTCACAATGACCTCAGTCAAACCGGTGTCGCTATCGTTGCTCGTGTTTCTACTGTGACTAACGATATCCTGGTCCGGGTCTTGTGGTGTCTGCTCATATTTATTTGTTCTGCACCTGAAAGCAGCAGCTACCTTCTTGGTTCTGCCACCTTTTTGCTTTTTGGGTGAGCTCTTAACAGGATACTTGGGAATGTGAGGGTTGCTACCAAGAGCTGGCTTAGAGGAAGAGGAATGAGGCGGTGGAACAAAACCACCATCAACTAAGGCTGCATAATAACGTGCAAGAGCTCGAGCTGAGCAATGTCCATTAGCTGCAGGTATTATGGCACGACGAATGTTTAGCATGTTAAATACAGCAGGCAATACAGAAGCAAGTTGTATAATGTTGTCTGGCTGGAAAGAGGATGGCAGGTCCGTTCGACTGCTAAGTCCCGAAAGCTTCTTCAAATCCTCTGTATCTGGTGTAAGGGTAGCAAGTCGAGATTCCACACCTAAAAGAGGAACAAAAAGCAGGGTAATTTATAAAATAATAATAATAAATCAAAACCCAGATATATGATTACCAGAATACATTCTGATAAACAACTGAACCAATAGTTTCCTATTGATATAGACCAATCAATCAACAAAAACAAAGAAGTGTGATTGCAGATCCTTGATACATATTCCTTGCATTTAATGAAGCAAAAACATAGTACACTTGCCTGGAGGGATTCCAATATACATCTCGCCTTCAATTTGGAGGGGGTGAATGAATGCTTCTTCAAGAATCTCTTTGAATTTCCTCCCTGATGCATGCTGTTCCATCCAAACATATAATTAGAAAATATACAAAGCAAGCTTTGAAAATGGGAATTCACGGTGGTGCATTCAATGATTCCACTACATACAGTACTAAACGGTTGACTGAATATTAAACAGGCAATTATACCTCAATGATTCCACCACATATCCAACCATAACTAAGATAGTGATAGAACTGCTCCCGGCCAGGTTCAGTCTCAGGTTCTGACATGGCAATGCGGTTTAAACACTCCTCCCAGTCAGCCATAAGCAAAGGGTTTTCTCTGCCAATGTCTGCCGACGCATTGTGCAGTCCGGATGTATGGTTAAGCACATGATGGACCTAAATAAAAAAGAAAATAATAAATAATCACAGCAATATAAAAAACGTTTATAGCTTTAATGGATGTTGGAACTTGGAATAATTATCTCAGCAGTTGAACCACAAATTATATACCTTTATGTGATCTTTTCTATTTGATCCAAATTCTGGCCATATATTTGCTACATTTTCCTCCAGCTTCAATTTTCTGAAAGCAGAATAACTAGAAACATTTACCTTGTTTACCAACATTACCATATGTAATTTTACAGTAACACCAACTATAATTTTCTGTAAATAACTTAGATTATACAACTTAAATGCAGAAAGATATCATGCATTGACAAAGTTCTTTCGTCATACTATTATATCAAAACAACGTAGTAAACATGCACCATAGGTATTTTATCAAACTCCTGAAGCCACACAGGTAATACCTAACCACGTCATTTTTTTCTGTTCATGGATCAAATCGTGGAAGTTTATACTGTGATGGATTCCCCTGTTATGTAGAATGCAGTGGGTAATCCACACCACCTCACACAATGAAATACCATCTATCAAGCCATGAATATGCTAAAAAAGAAACGAGAGCTTAGTCTGGAACCATACTAATACGCACCCAGTGTCAGCCAGCCAATGTAGCATTCCAGCTGTTATACCCTTTGTTACAGAAAAAACCGGGAAAAGGCTGTCAAGCTGAACTGGACGAGGATCATATCTACCAAGCACTCCAGCAGCAGTGTCAATAATAACTTTACCATCTTTGTAGGCACATACCTTAATGCAATCATGAAAATTTGATTCAAATTATAACTTTGGAGAAAAAAGAGTCAAAGAAACAAACAATCAACAACTTACCTATCCAAAAAATATGAAACCATTTTCACATGCCTTAAAAAGAAATTGAGAGACGTCTTGTGTTAATTGTACCGCCTAATTAGTTGTCATCTTACACCTCTTAGTTCAGAATTCTTTGAATGTAATTCCATTTTATAATATTACACTTACTCAGGACAGAAATTCAACATGCATACATTGCTCTTATACAGAAAATCTTACCTCACGTCAGTCTTTCTGTACCTCCTCAATACATAAGCATAAGTAAAAATAAATGGACAATTTCAAGGGCATCTAGCATTCTGGCATAAAAAATCTCAAACTCATAGAAGTAACTTCTAACGTAAAAGTAGCTAATTCAGACCCTTAAAATAAAAAAACTTTAAATGGAAAAGATCAGCATTCAAAGAACATGCAACACCACTGCAATGAAACTCAGACTTGCAATGGAAGGTATAAGAGAGCACAATAAGATAATGCAATATCAAGCTTTAGGGTGCATAAACGGAAAAGAACTATTCAGATTTTCATGGCATCATATCAACAGATGAATTGGTGCACACCTGAACTCCAAGTATTTTATTGTTATTCCCCATCTCAACTAGGAGTTGCCTCAGCTTGGCCTCCACATCAGAGTGGGCAGGTGTATCATAGACCCACTGATCATTTACCATTGGTCCCCTATTAATGTTTCTGAAAAGTTTTGGTTCCATCAGAAATGAATCGGATATGAAAACGAACTAACAAAAAACAATATCAGGATAGACTTACCCTTGTAAAACGGATTCGGCAAATGGTCTCATGATATCTTGATATACAATGCGGACATTCATTGTGGAAGAAAGCCCTAAATCCAAGTCAAACGATAAATTTAAAAGGTACAGTTACTTAATACTAACATCAGCAGAGAAAATTTTGAATACAGACCTCTGAGAAGATTGAGGACTCGTGCAAAAATTACAATATCACCTGGAAATGCATCAACCTAATAAAAACGTAAATTAAGCACGGATGGAATTAATCAATAAACATAGCAGAGAAGCACGATGGATAGGAGGACATTATACATAAAACTTACAGGATTAAAGCGTTTAACCTCCTTTTTGTTAAGTTGCATCTTATCCTGTATAACCTTCATGTTTTTTGTTCTTTGATCGGCCAAAGATTTCATTGTTTCCTTAAGAAAATCATAAGTACATAAATTAAACCGAATCGGAGAGGACTTATGAAGTTGGAAAATTGAAACAATTTAACAAGCCCAAGATGAAAAATCTCAAAACTTGTTGCATACATACATGAGACTCGTTGGCTGGTGTTGTACTACGGAAGAATACACTTGTTATCTCCATTGCTTGCTCTGGTATATCCAGGCGCAATTTAAGACCCATTTCTGCAAAAGCAGACAATAGAGCAACGTGGTCCCCCTGTGACAAAAAACCATTGCAATCTCATGATTCAAAAGGAATTAGTTTTTAGTAATAATCCTTAGAAAAAAAAAAATCAAACAGGTAAGTAAAATACACTCAGAAGGAAGATATAATTTAAACACATTACTATTCATCATTGAGTAATTTAATTCAATGCAGATTGTTCCCCGTTTATACTGACAGTGCATTTATTTATTCTAACAATCAACCTTCATCAGTTGAAAAGGCATTACTATTAATCATCACAGTACTGTTAATCTTTTTTTGAAAATGCTGATCCTAGGCATCTAAAAGGAAAGAATTAAAACATGCCCAAGAAGAATTACAGCATTACTGGTCGCTATTTCATTTCATAGAGAGCAATTTATAATGGCTCTAAAACCTCAGTAGATGCCAAGGTCGATTCTTTAAATCATGAAGCCTACTCACCTAAATTTCTTAACATCAAGTTAACCATAAGATATCAAACTGAAAGCAGTTTCCACAAACCTCAGCAGATGCCAAGAACATCTTTGCTAGCGCTTTTTTAAAAGAGCTTGACAATTTCTTTGTTAGCCCAAAGTCAAGCAAACAGGAAGATGTGGAGGTTCCTTGCTCACAAGAAAGTTTCCTGCAAAAGGGACTCAGAGCAATAAACCAAGTAGAACATAATATTTTGGAAACTTGTTGACTAACGAATTGAAACAAAACAGCGGAGGGGAAGAGGGATACCAGGATGAGGTCTCCATTAAAAAATCCATCAATATAGATTTGGTGGGCATATGCACGTGTGATTTCTTCAATAACCTTTTGTTTGTCAACACCAAATGCTTCCAGTGATTCTATGTCATTTAAACGAATGCCATCCATAAACTCTGAAATGATGACTTTCTCTGTTGACTGTCAACAAAAGCAGCAGGCAGAGTAAATGAGTAATATACATGAAAAAGGAAAGACAGCATCCATAATTTATAGAAATGAATTAGATCAACCACTATACATTATCTTCAGTTTTTTCATATAAATTGAGACATGCAAGAACAACCATAACAATCTCAAATCCCTATATCCTAGAATTGCTCATACTGTTTTTGGCTAAATGCTATTGTGCTTGCAAAGCCATATACATTAACATTAGACGAATGAAGCATATAGTACCTGAATAACCTCTGGAATCAAAACATCTACTTGATCAGCACGTGTGTTATCGTCACATTTGGTTTTGCAGCCAAGATTTTTAGACACTGTTCTGGTATTCTCTACAGAAACAAAGAGTAGATAAACAAAAAACAAACAAAAAATAGTTTAGACAAGAAAAAAAAACAAGCCCATTTAAAACAAACTGTCATCAAGATTGCAAAAACTGAAAGGATAAATAATATTTCAGCATTAAGACAAAATCTAGGAGTATGGCAGACAGGTAATTCATGACTAACAGTAAACTAAGTGGTCAATTTGGGAAATGGGCTCATGCATTTTCAACACCAAAGCGCCTCATTACTGAAAAATTCATTAAAAGAGAACAAAACCAAACAAATTATCATGACTAACAGTCAACTGAGTGGTCATTTTGTATGATGTATAACGCCTTCCACTAAAGCTCCACTTCTTCCTAAAATGACTCCACTTTCCGCGCAACCACACATGTACTTTCCAAAATAAAAAAAAGGGAAAAAAGAAGAAGAAGAAGGAACTAAATTCACATGCACGTCAGAGAGCTGGTACAAGAACTAGACTAGTAAGTATCTGACTATCTCAGACAACTTGATTATACCAGCTTCATGATTGAAGTCAAGTTCTTTGGGAGATTCTTTGCACCATTCATCTATCATAGGATTAAAATTGAATTGAGGCTCTGCCCATGCTATCCAGTCAACAATTGACTTAGCATTCTTCAAGTCCTGCAAAACAAAAGTATACAATCTTATAGTGATCTTAATTTTATTTTAACCCAAAATTTTAAAACCCAAAGTATGAAAAACCTCCAAAATAATTGTCTTGATGCCCTCATGTTGAACTTTAACAACTACTTCCTGCCCATTAAGCAGGGTAGCACGATGGACTTGTGCTATCTGCATAAATTACAATGGGAAACCAGTAAGATTTTTAGTTTTCCTAGAATCAGAGTATCAATTAGCAATGACCCTGAGCTAAGTGCCCATATTTTTCCACTCAAGAGTATGAAAATCTTACTGATGCTGTTGCCAAAGGAACTTTCACAAAATCTAAGAACAACTCATCCATTGATTTTCCGAACTCTTTCTGTATGGTTCGACAAACCTGTGGAAACAAAATTTTCAGTTTAGCCAATGAAGTACTAGCAGATGATAATTGTAATATAAAATTGAGAGTGAGGGGAGGTCAAAAGGTTAAGCAGATGCATGAAGTATGTAGAAACTTATAGACGCAGGAAATGGGGTTGTTACTATGTTAGCAAGCGAAATAAAAAATAGATCCCTAATTATCGGAATTAACAAATGAGATCAAGAGCGGAACTCAAGGTTGGCTAGACCGGGCTATAACCTGGCCAAGCCTACGACAAAGAGGGATAAAAAATCCTCTCCCTGATGAAGAGTTTGAATGACAGAACTTAAAAGATCTGCAAACAGTAAATAGCATCAAAAGAACACAAGACACTATATCAATAACATCAAGAAAGCAGATATAGGTTTTCTCAACATCAAAGGCAGAAAAACCCAATATTTTTACCAACATTGTTCAGCAAGTCTAATGTATAATGATATTATAAGTTTGAAACCTATAGAGATAACCTCTTCCAAAGGACGAGGAGGAAGAGAGTCCTGTAATTGTTTGAGAAGGCTAATATATGCCTCAGGAAGTACATCTGCTCTTGTAGATAGATACTGCCCAAGTTTCACCCACAAACCTTCCAACTCTATTATCAAACTGAGAACACGTTTAGCATTGCGCTCATGAGCACTTTCCCATAAAGTAGCTCCTTTAGTTTTGCTAATCCATTTCTCCCGTTGCTGCAAAGCCTTTAGTGATAAAAGGAAAAAACAATAACAATTTAATATGGTTTTTTGTATTTAAATATCCCACCTATAAATGAACAGAAATGAATGAAATTTACCTTGTAATCAAGGTATATCATTAATGCAACTGTGCAAACTTTCATCCGTCTTTTGTAGATGTTTCCCCATCCCATCAGTTGAGACTCGGTACAGATTGGGCCAAGAGTAATTTTAATTCACCAATCTTTGCTTGGGGAATAAAGGAAAAGAACAGGTCAGGTTCTAGACAAAATGCATCCAAACAAACCAGCATTCACATAGTAAGGGAAATAGAACACAAAGTGTATTCATAAATAATTCTATAACCTACAAACAGAAATCAGAGATGACTACCCTAGAAAAAACTCAATAAGGTAAAAATGAACATTAAGACGAAAAGATAAAGGGGGAAGAAAGCTCAAGAAAATGGAAAGATCATAGATTTGCAACTAAGTGAGCTGAAACTCTAAACAATTAAACAATCAAAGTATAAATTTGTATACAAGAACCTTTATGAGATGTTTCAAATTTGTAACTGCTGCTATACCCTATTGTTGTTATTGCACGAAAATAAACTCCTGAAATGGAATCCCATCTATGTTAAAGCTATCTGTTTCTAATGAAAAGAAAAGAATATTCCCTAATTGAAGATGCGGGACACTAATACTCACAAAATCACCAAAAGACTAAATAGCTCATGGTTATTTTGCCACCACCTTTTCAACAACAGTATCCCTAAGTTTGAGAGTGTGAATCCCTGATCGGGAAATTAATGCCTTGCATAATAGTTTAAATGATCTTAGGCCTCTCCACCCATTGCCAATTGGTTTCAGGTTGGATGCTCATATTCTAATAGTAAGTCCATCTACTTATCAACATCGAGCCGCGTCATATTCAGCCACTCTAATCTCTTCTCTCTTTTCTCTTAGCGCTTTGCTCTCATTTCGGGCCTTCTTCATATTGAGCATAAACACACCAATAGCAAACCTCTCAAGTGTTCTTATATAGTCAATGTGCCAACTTCAAGTTTAAGAACATAAACTGAAACTTAGCACAACCCAGTAAGCACTACAACAACTCCAACTAATCAATTCAAAACTCATTGCCATTCGGGAGGCATTTTGATCAATCACCATCAATTCCCTCCAGTGTATGTTTATGCATAGCATACAATCTTTCTTCCTCTCTTTTTTCTTTGCCAATTGGAATTCAGTATGATAAGAATTGAATAAGAATTGAAATCTATGGATGTAGCTTTAAATAACTTTGCTAATTCACCTGACTCCTATCCTATCTACCACATCAGTCCCCATAAAACAACATAACAAATTCTTATGAAATTCATTTCTCCATGATCACAGCCTATGAACCCTCAAATTCTAGACCAGATTCATAAAACCTCTCCAAATTTTCAGGAATTTTATCAATATCATGAAGAAAAAAAAAAAAGTGAATGAACAAATTACAATTATATCAATCTCATTAAACAGAAAATTCCAAACAATTAAGGAAAATTTGATATTAACAGACTAAATCAAAGAAATGTTTTCCACCTGAAGTCCAAAAGCTTGCGAAGCGAAAGCAGAGAGAGATAGAAGAAAGCTGAAGCGTTTTTGAAAGTGGAAAATGTTGGAGAGAGGAGACTGGTATTAACGTAACTTCTTCGACACGACCAGATTCTGTGTCGTTTTCTTGACGCGGCTAGAATATTTTACTTTCTGTTTTAGCGTTGGCCTTCCCCCAACCAACAAATGGTGAAACTCAGACTTCAACGACTTCATCACCGCCTGTGAGTATTGGATCATGCGCTCGTCCAATCACCACAAATTAATTCTCGAGATAATTAAAATAACAACTTACGCGTCGCGAGGCGATTCGTTGTTTCGTGCAACAGCGTGTGAGGTTAGTGTAGGCGACGAAACTAGAAGCTTTGCAGGTTAAGTCGCGCGAAATTAATGAAATGTTAGGTGAGCCGTTGGATTGGGCGGGTGAGAGAACCGTAGCCGTTAATTTCTTGAAACGCATGCGTGGCTAATAGCTCACCGCTTCTTCGTCATCTAATCTGAACTTTCTGGCGGTCCAAGAGTTAAAAAACAAAAATGTCGTAGTCGCCTGGGCAAGTCGGCGTATATTTTTCAATGGTCGAGGCTCAAAATTAATTTTTGGTCAAAATAAAAGTCAATTAATCATGATATAGACTAATTACAAAATTTTATTTTGGAAAAAGTAGAGAGTTTTTTTTTCAAGGAAAAGGGGGGATCGCCAAGTTGGACTTGAAGATTTCTTGGGAAAGAGTTTTTGAAACTAGGAAGGAATTTTCTGCTGAGCATATGAGGGAAGAGTATAAGTAGGTGTGTTGTTTAGTTTTGGTTAGGTGTGATTTTTTGTTCACCCCTTGTTTCATTATCTTCATGGTCAACATACACCAATTATTCATCAAAACAACGAAAGGTTGTTGGTCAATTATGTTTAGCTTGTAGCTATATTTACATGTAAAAAGTTGATGGTGAAACTTAAAAGTTTGTTTAATACGTCGGACTATACTGATTAATTTATGTCAAATAGTATTAATTTGTTTTAGAGAGCATTGTTGTGTTTGGTTCTTTGTTTGATAACAGAGGATCATATATATATATATATTTAATTATTTGATAATTTAATTGGAAATTGAAATCTATATGATAAATTTTTTTTCAGCAAGATTTATATGACAATAGTTTTTTTTCTTTTATTTTTGTCAAGATTTATAAGACAATATTACATGAACTAACCCATTATTATAATTGTAGAACTTAGGATCATACGTTTTACATAGTATATAAGCACATCTTTATTGATGGGAAAAAAATCACATCTTGATATAAGCACATCTTTTCTGACAGTGAATTGACATAAGCACATCTTTTCTGATTGTGAACTGATAAATTACATAAGACCACAAATAGATGATAAATTATAGAAGATCAAGTCTGAAGCTAATGCTGGTCTGGCGCAATGCAATTTTACATCAACCATTTGATTGGCAATCTCACATGATAAGATAACGCGAGACTTTAATATCACTATGCTCACTGTAATTTAATGGATTCAATTAAATAAAATGAAATAGATGCCAGAGTTTTTTTTTTCGTAGGCTTATAATTAAGTGAGTATTATCTAAACTAGGGTGTGTGGGTTGTATTAATTAGTCAGGTATGGAGAGTATTAATAGTCCAATCCGTTTAACATAGTCAAGTACTTAAATAATACAAGTTGACACTAAACAACTAACATGAGCTATTTACTCCTATCCAGAGTTTAATATGGTGTACCAAACATACTATAAGGGTTTGGTTGTTAAATAATGTGATATTTAGGGCCGGTTTAGGATTGATGTTATTAATACCTGTGTTAGAAGCCCTTTTAAGGTATGTTTGTGAGTGCTTATGGAAGTGCTAAAATCGCTTTATGATAACCAAAAGTGTTGTTGCCAACATTTGGCAGAATTTAGAAATTTATGGGTCATAAAAGCGTTTTCTAGCAAATCACATGACAAATACTTTTCCAAGGAACACATGGATTTCTTATGAAAACTTCCCTATTTTTATAATAAAAACAATTTTACTAGAAACATTTAGAAGTCCCAAATAGAGGAATGTCGAACCTTTTATTAATAATCAAAGAGTGGTTTCTTAAAAAGCACATGCTAAACAATTTTAGATTTTTATACCATAAAGCGTTAAGAAGCATTCCCAAACCAATCCTTAATCGAGTGGATTTACAATATCCTCATGCCACTTTTAATTCAAATCGATTAATTGCATGTGGCAAACCCAATTAAGCTTATCTGACGGACCAAAATGTCCAAGGGCAAAAATACACCTTGCTCAGGCCCAACCCCTTTCCTAAGCATATGTATGAATTGAATTATAAGGACATGAGCACCATTGTACACACGTATCATGAATGAGATCATCGAACCCCTAAATCTCTATAGAGTCGAACGACTAGAACACAAAGTAAGGATTTTTGTGCCCCGTTACTATGACTTTGGTGCATTAGAACAAGAGTCTTATCTATAGACAATTAGGGCAGAGCGTCTTTTTTTAATTTAGTGAAGGGTTGAGTATATTGGGTTATAGTTTTGATGTGGGATTGCAGACATCGCTTAAGAAATCGCCACGCATCCTAACATGAAAGTGGCATAACATGTGCCTTCGTTGAGCTGGATTAGCAGGTGAGGTTGTCGCAGACTCACCCGTATCGATGATAGTTATGAGTTCCAACAATTAAGCTGGGACATATTGACTTCTTCTTAGTGGGTCTTTTGTTCCGTATGTCCAAATAGAAGGGGATCAAATATGGTATAAATATATCCCACCCAATAATCATGTTATTTGAGCATTGGACTTTCTCGTTGGATCAAGTGCATGGATAATTTGGATCTTTAATCAATCGTATATCATGGGATGCCGTTTTAAACTATTCCACTTGTCGTTTTGTTTTTTCCGAGTCACGACTCACCGAGTCCATTCGTTATTTCCAAAACCTCGTTCGGCGGCTAGTCCCGCTACCTACCCCACCGACCCGGTTTTCTCGAACCATAAACCACCCACATTCATTGACAAGTGGTGACAATTCCACGCGTCAAAAATCAAAGCCCTCCCAGATAATCCCTATTCCTTACCTGACCGACACGTGGCCGACCAAAATAAAACCGCTAAAAAGTTATCTTTTATTCTATTTAGGATCCTATTTCCTTTCGGTAATAAAAAGATTTTTTTTTTAACCAAAAAATTTATAAGATTTATAGTTGGGGAAAAATTGAAAGTACCACCAAACCCCGGACTCAAAAACTCAAAAGAAACTCAGACTCAAAACTGTCGCTTTGAGTTTTGTTGGCTGTGATTTCATGCTCCATGGCGGCCTCAAAGCTCGCGATTCTGTCAATTTTTCTAGCCCTAATTTTCTCTCAGATTAGGGCTGATGTTTCAGTGCAAGGAGAAGAAGACGCGCCACTGAAGCCCGTCCGATCGGACGGCCCTGATTCGTCCGCTCTGAAGATCGAGTTGGATCAGCTCAAGTCTAAGATCCACACCCTTGGTTCGTTTCTCGCTTGTTTTACGATTTTAGGGTTTGTTTGAACTTAAAAACTAAATTTGTGATTTAGAAGTGTTGTTTATTCGATTTTCCGCGGTTTTATCGCTCCCTAATCAAATGTTACTGAAGTTAAAGATCCTTCAGTTTACGAATCCTGAAGTGTATTAATTTCGTTCTATTTCTAGTTTTTATGGTTTTTGGGAATTCATGTTAGTACCAATAAGCCGAGCTCTTTGAGCTTAACTTGTCAAGCTTTAGTTTTGAACTTTTTATAATTTTTGTCGGAGCTTTAAAATAAAAAAAATTCTAATTTTCAGAAGAGCACACGTTGAGTTTTAGCTTTGTTCTGAAGAATAATCCATAGTAGTTTACCGAAATCAATGTTAAAAAGCAGTTCGTAGACTTTTTGGATTTGGGAATGGTGCTTCTTAAGTGTTTTAAGTGCTGCTTGGGCTTGTTGACTGACGTTTTGTCTTTCTGTTACTGCTGAAGAATTCGACGTGGATGCGAAGATTAAAGAACTCAAAAAGAAGAATGAGATAATAGAACAGAAGGAGAAAATCATTCAAGAGAACTCGAATAGCATTTCTTCTTTGCAGAGTGAAATCGAGTCTCTCCAGGTTAGCCATTTTTGCATGAGAAGCCAGATAACCAATTACCCACTCTGTTGTTAAATAACAATTTGTTTCTTTGGGTGTTGTTTAATTTGTAATTTGTTCTTCCTATGCTACTGTATTTTAGAAAAAAGGGTCATTAGATGCTGAGAAGCAGGTTGGAAAGGCTCATGCACGTGCTGGTGAATTAGAGAAGAAGGTTAGAAATGGTCAAGTGAACTATTTTAGTCGGTGAAAACCACTACATTTGTAAACTCAATCTACTTTGCAGGTTGCTGAACTTAAAAAGGAATTAGAATCGCAACATAAAGAGAAAGAGGCCTTGGAAGCCAGGGCAAAAAACGCCGAGACGAAGATTGATGTTTTGATCTTAAAAATAGAGAATGTGAGTTTATTTTATTTGTCTCATTCGGGAAGAAAAAGTTATTTTGTAGCTGAATATGCTCATAATGAAAGTCCTTAGTGATTCTGCATATAACGAACATTGTTTTGCTGAATGTAATACATAACTGGATGAACGACATTAACGGAAGATGGAAAGATACTAAAAGTTGTATTATCTTTCTGAAGTTCTGTCAACTGATCACTGTTTTGTTTTGGTTGTATTCTTGTGATTCAATGGTTACTACCAATCCCTTTCATGTCCTTTTTACGACGTGTTCGCTATTTGTTTCCCTAGAAACAAGTTTGTTGATATAAATGCCTTTTGTTTTTTCATTTCTTTTATGAATGTAAGCTGTTGGTGGGCAAAACAACATTATTAGTTCCTTGTTTATCTCCAATGTGGTCACAGTTGGGATTTTTTTGGTGTTTTTTGTATTAATATTTACTTTGACTTCTATACATTGTTGAATGAAAAGTAAACTTCTGTTTTATTTTGCAACTTGAACTTTGCTTAATTTTATCCTGGGGGATGGTAGAATGATCTCAGATAATTTTTTTACAGATTGAGAAGATTAGTGATGACCAAAAGACTAAAATCCGTAAACTGAGCGCGCTCTTAAAGTTGCTGAGGTAATTTTTTAGTCTTTGCTAAAGTTCATTATTCTAGATTTTGTTTGGTGCTTATGCAGTCTTTGTTTCCATATTTTTCTTCAGGAAGAAATGTTGAAGGCAAAGTTTGAAGCTACTTCAAAAGCAAAAGAGTTAAAGGAGGTAGTAAGTTGCATAAATTCTCTCTCATTTAACCTGTTTCCTGATGTTTGTCTATATTCTTTCTGAGCTAGTTGTAAATTCAGAAAAATCAACCAAGTAGTTTCTTAGGGAAGTAGAATGGTAAGGTTTTGTCTAAAGCTTATCATAGAACTTGAGGGTTTTGTCTAAGCTTATCATAGAATTTAAGGTTCATTAAAAAAATCTGGCTGTAATATGGGGCATGACACTTATTTAATAATCCATGCGATTGGCAGATAATACCTGTGACAGTTCATTTTGCAATTCTCTTCAGTAATCTAGATAATTTATCTATCAAATGATACAGTTGGAATTTTGGAAATAATACAAAAGCTGGGTTTTTTATTTACTTATTTTTATTCATGCAAATGCTTTTTTTATAGTCGCCCTATATTATATGGTTTCTCACATATGTCCTCGTCTGGTATATTGTATACTAAAAAACGGACTCGTTATTATATTTTGGTTTCAAGCCCTAATGCATATTCTGTTTTTTAAAATCAGGTTCATGGTGCATGGCTTCCACCATGGCTTGCTGTACATTTAATCCATTGTCAGGTAACTAAATGCATTTTACTTTTGTAAAGAAAAGCTTTCTTCAAGGTGTTGAAGTTGTTGTCAACTTGCAGTCCCTTGTAGAGACACATTGGAATGAGCATGGCAAACCTGCAGTGGATATTGCAGTTCAGAAGGTATTACAGTTGATTGCTGTATGGTGAAGAATCTCATTCGTTACTTCTGGAATTTGCTCTTTTACAACTTTGTGCCTAATTTACTGAGTATCATATTCATCTATTACTGACGAGCACCTTACTTCAAATTTGTTCAGGCCCTGGAGAAAAAAGCCCAAGCTGAAAAGTGGGCTGAACCCCACGTGGAAACATTTAAAACTGTAAGCTAGGTTAACTTTATTTTCAACTTTAGTATTGTGTCATTACACTATGTGAGGACCTGAATTTGGTTGTGTTGCTGTTTTCCTACATCTCCCACTTTGTAATTTTTCCATGGCAGAGATAATTTAAGCAGGGATTACACAAACACACACACCCACACACACACACACACTTGCATGCCAGTATATACATGTATGTCAGTGTGCTAGTATGCATGTATGCGTGCATGCTAGTAAGTTCTACTATTCAGTGATGGTTTATAACTTTTTTATAATAAATGGTTTGTCTTTAATTTCATACTAATTTGGGTTTCCTTTCCTTTTCCTGTCTCTGTCCTTGTGCTTTAAAGAAATGGATCCCAGCAATCAAGGAACAGTGGGTGGTGGTGAAAGAATCTGTTGAACCTCATGTGAAATCGTTAAGTACGAAAACTGTTGAAGTTTATGAGATGTCAAAGAGTACATTAGCTCCACATGTTCTAAAAGCACAAGAAGTTGTTGATCCTTATTTTCAGGTATCTATCTTATCATATACACTTTTTTCTTTTGGGGGTTGTGGTTTTTCTGTGTTGCCTACATGCATCCTACAGCTGTATTTTTGGGTGACAGGAAGCAAAAAAGTTCAGCAAGCCATATGTTGATCAAGTGGCGACTGTAGCAAAACCTCATGTTGACAAAGTTCGAGTGGTATTGAAGCCCTATACAAAGAAGGCAGTTCATGCCTACGAGAAGTTTCTCAAATCTGCGTCAACGTACCATCATCAGGTATTGGCATTAATTTGGGAAAACCTTCATTCATTATGCTACTGTTAGATACTTATTAGTTCAAAGGTTTGATTGTTGCCTTTTAATTTGAAGTTGCTTTTGCCAAGCCAATTCATCTTGGCTTAATATGTAATATATGTTTAATTTCTGTTATCTAATAATGACTCTGTTGAACAGAGTTTGGACTGCAGTACATATGTCATTTACTGTTGAGGACTATTACTGCATTGTTTTGTCTTCTATGTTTGTTGTCATCAAGTGATTCTAAGAATTCATTAGCTCAGTCATTACGTGGTTAATACATTATAGTAGTTGCCATAAAATTGTCAAACAAAATGCATATCCTGAACAAGTTGTGTTGTTTTCTCAGTATTCTTTGTCCCAGCAGTGCTGAATATGTTGTTGAAGTACATAATTTTTTCCCCTTGATACTTTCTAGCATTGGTGGATGTACCCTTAGCTTAAGCCATTCACTGAACCCAAGCTATAGTAGTTTATTAACTTTATAATTAATATTCCTTAAAGGTTCAAGCCAAAGTAAAAGATTTGCTGAAGAGGCATGAGCTGACAAGAGCCCTTGCTACAAAGGAGTTGGAGTGGTTTGCGGTATGTGTAATGAAATCATTCTTTTTGCAGCTCCTTTTATTTTATTTTTTGAATTTTATGTTTGACCAACAATTTAAATGTTGCAGGCCTCTGCTTTGTTGGCCCTACCCATCATATTTCTGTTCAGAATTTTCTCCTCGCTTTTCTGGTTAGTTTCTTAATGGTCTGTTCTTTTTAATTATGTTGTTGGTTGAGATGGCAATTAAAGTTCTGATGCTGGCATCTTGCACGTACCTTTCTCTTAAATGAAAAGTAATCCTGAAATATTTCCGTTGGCTGATTACAAATTTTGGTTTATCATCATGCAGTACAAAGTCTAAGAAACCTGTTCGAAGTACCAACCATACACGTCGTAAGCCTAAAAGGGTTCATCCGGACAAGTAGACTGCTGCCAGTTTGTTCACAAGTCGTTTTCTTTTTTTATGGTTAAAGGTATACTTCATTATCATTTCAAACAGCAGTAAATGAACATTTTGTATTGTATTGTACCTGATACTGCTATACCGTACTTTTATGGTTGATAGGTGAAACTTTCCTCTTCTGTTTATTTACCTCAGTATCTGTTTTTCTTTTTCTTGCAGGTTGGTTTGTGCTTGTTGCAAGGGCATTTCGAGGCGATATATTTGTGAATCGGATGCAGCCACGGCAGTGTTCAAATATCTTGCTTAAGTTTTAGAAACTGTGATACACGAGTTAGACATTCAGATAAGTGTAGGAGTTCATCTGGTGTGGGCAGCTTTTAATTATGTTGTTCCAAGGTGTATTCTAGTTTATTTTTTATTCTTACAAAGTTCAGAGTCTAGATGATTGTCGTGTGCACCTCTTTTCGTTATTAAAATTATAACTTTTTTGTTATAATTTTTTATTATATAATTTATAATTTTCAATTAACTGCGAAGACTGGAATCAATAATTTAGTGAGATGGCCAAGAGATGTGTCATTGGTTTGCGTAGAACTTGGTCTGCAATCTGCATATATGTTTCTCAACAACCCATACCCCGATGTTTTTACCATATATTTACCTCCGTGACTTTCTGACTCGGAAAATAGAAATATCCCCAATAATTATGCCAAGGACAGACAGTCACCTGCGTGGTGGCTGTTCGGCGACCTAAAGTAAGCCACAACTTTGATGTATTGTTGTTCTGTCTACACAGAAAGTTAAGGCTAGTTTGGTATCTTACTTGGAGATTCTATAGAATTCTTGTCTACTTGGATTCAAATTTATATACTAAAAAATATAATTGATAAAAAAAACCTCTTTGGTAGACTCATTTTTAAAAATCGAAACCCCACAATTATTAAAACAAAAAAGGTAAGCTTTTACGGCTCTCTCTCTCTCTCCCTCTCTTTCCGATCAGCTTTGTCTTTGTGAACCAATAATCATCAAAACCACCGAATTAAGTTCATCATCGGCGCGTTCAATTTGGAGTTGTTGTGCACCACCAAAATTGATAGGATTTTGCCTCACATCTTTTTCCTTTTTTTTTTAATGTTAATTTTAATTTGGAGATTAGGGTTTTTGATTTTCTGATTTTAATATCAATTTTATTTAGATCTTAAAAATAGTTTGGAGTTCAATACCAAACAAATTTTTAAATCTTAAAATCACTATTTGTAAAAAGAATCATGCTTTTCATTGTATCTCACGGGTCAAAACTTCAGGTGCCAAAAGATTTGTGTGTTTTAAGGATGGTTAATAAGGCTGTTGAGTGCTGTTAATTTAGGTTAACTTGTGTGAGCTCCTTGTGACGTATGTGGTGGCCCATGAGGAAATTTGAGCTTGCTTTGATGGCTTTGACATCTTTATTATCATGACATGCTTACTAATTTGTAATCAGAATTAAAATAAGAAGTTGAATTTCGATTATGGATTAATCCTATGTTTACTTCACATGGAGGAATGGAAATATAAGTAAGGCTCACATAAAATTAGGAATTCAACTCCTACCCCAATTCCATATGATGTGTTAAACAACTTTAATGGGAATTTGGATTCTAACTCATCTCAATCCACTCATTCTCAATTTAATTCATTCTCATCCGATTATGGATTAGTAAACATGTCATAAGTGTAATACTATTAGAGAAACAACAACTTCAGACCACAATGCAATATTATCTGGCTGATGATGTTTCAATTATCAACTTATTACGACAATTAATGTGACAAATGGGTTTTTACTTCTAATACCAAAACAAAAAAATAAATACGTTTTACTTTCCAGACTTCACACTGCTTTGTGATATTACTAATTCACTAATATTCATATGTATCTATTTATAAAAATTAGAATCTAAATTCATAAATATAAATTATTTCATTCAACCATATTATTATTACCCGAGCTACAGGCACATTGGCTTACACGATGGTCGATGCATGATGATGGCATTGGGTTTTTACAAGTGACCAACCGAGACCAACTGGTGACATTGCTACACAATATGAACTTACTAATAAAAAAAGCAACTTTTTTGAGAAGTTTTATTCCTTTCTCACTCTCTCACGAATTGAAAAGCTTCTCCAATGTAGCCATGAAAGTAAACTTCCCATATAAAATTCTATGGAGTAAGTTTAATTTCGTTCTCACTCTCCCGAGTCTTTAAAGTTTTTCCAGTGCACGTGGTGCTGCTTTGTGGCCAACCACCCCAACGCCTTGTCAGATAATTACAAACTCATAGTTCCTTCCTGTGCTTACTACTAGCAGTCTCCTAACTTGTGGTATTTATCAATTCTTAAACTTCTAAGTTGATCCATTAGTAACAAAGATGGAGTGGTTATATATGTAATTAGTCCCCTTTCAGTTTACTGATAAACATTATCAACTCAAAAACCACCATTTATATTAAGCTAAAAAATGGTGGATGGAGTCAACAAGGTCTAGCCCAACGGAAAATGACTTTGACTTGCAGGCCAGAGATCTCAGGTTCATATCCCCACCCCACGGCATCATATAGTTGTGTGTGTGAGTAGTTTAGACTATCGCTTTGTACTAAAAAAGAAAATATCGTAGATGGAAATAAATGAATTTAAAAGATATACAGAAGCAAAAAGACCAAGACATGTTTCTGAAGGAGAGAAGTAATTATAACTTAAAACTCTAATTCACAAAGACGATAGATGGCCTTAGTTGCTCTGGGTATGTACTTACTGAACCCATAAGACACCCCATTAGAGATGAATAACAAATTAAGGCGTGCTTAATTGAAATGTCAACAGATTGAAAGGAAATACAATTTCTCTACTGATTCTCAGGAGTACCTTATATTTAGCTAGCTATTCTATACTAATATTAATACCATAATTAATTATTTATTAATTATGTTTGTGGTCTAACTTGCCCCTGAAAGTTAGAACTAATTATAATAACTCTCTTCATAAACCCTAATAGGGAGGCCAGTAGGTGTCAAGATCCACACAGTGCTCCATGTTCATAAACCTGTTGCCATTCCCATTTGCATTGTTGTTGTTCATATCTATTGCACCATATCCAGCTTGATGATCTGGACCAAGGGAATTATTATTAGCCCCATTACTCATAACATCTTGCTGATGAGGGTTCATAGCTGGAGGACCTTGATGATGTAGTTGTGGTGGTGGCATTGGCCTCAACATGGGCTGGGTGGCTGGCGCACCAAGATTCAAATTTAACCCAGAAATTGTAAACCCTCCTCCTCCTCCTCCAAGATTTGGGTAGTTGAATTGGGGTTGGATTGGTACGTTAATAGTGCCATTTGATGATCCACCACCGCCGCTGCCGCCAGTTCTTAAAACCCTAGAAATCTCTGCCAGCTCAGCACTTGTCATGTAATTTCTGCCATATGGGAATTGGTGATCACCTAGCTGCATCATGGGTGATGGCACCACACTTGGACCTATTTCTAGGTTGTAGGGATTGGCTGCTCTTGATTGGTTTGTTGGATACTTTTTTATGCCTGCGCTCTTCTGGAAGACACGGCAAACCACCCATTCATCCTGTTAAACACATCATTTACAGTTAGTTAATTCAATCCACAATCAAATCTATATGGAATAATAATATAGAATGAAAGACATAGTTTAAAGACGAAGGGTATCAATATTCTTTTTCTAAATACTATTTGGTACCAGGTATCAATATACTGTAAGTGCTACATTGTTGATATATATATGGTCAATTTTGTGTGAATACTCTAACTATACACCACATTAATTTGCTTGAATTTGAAAACATATATCGACAATGTATTTGATATTGTAAATTAATGTCCGATACAAGTTATCATTTACCTCCATGAAATAGGAATTCTTTTTTGTCTCTTGATTTCTTCTCTTTCCCATATTATTACTATCAGCATTGGCTTTCCATGTTTCATATTATCCCACCATCACCATTCACCATTCACCACGGCAGGTAATTTTCCATGTTTCCCATATTATTGAAAATACAATCGTTAATTAACTCAAATGTCAGGGTAATCAGTCATCTAATTATTATTTGCTTGGATTAAATAAGGTGCAAGTACTCCTACCTAGATTTTGTAAAACCCAAAATTATATATTATATATGGACTACGGAGTGTCCTCTGTGGACAAAGTTTCACAAATCTCGCATTGAATTAATCATGCTCTATCCTTTATCTTTTCTTAAATTATATAAATATGTAACTTGTGCTCAACTCAACATGTTCATACAAGTATCCCATGTAGAGAGAGAGAGAGAGAGAGAGAGAGAGAGAGAGAATTTGAAGTATCCAAGTTAATTTGTACTATATATAGAAATGAATTTAATTAGGTATGTACCTTAGAGGTTCTAAAGGCGGATTTAGAATGAATACGATATTCATGCATGACCCAATTGGACTTCTCGCCTCGAGGAGCTCGGCCTCTGTAGAAAACAAGTGTCTTCTTCATCCCAACCATCTCAGATGTCACACTGTTGAAGATCTCCTTGTCTTTCCCTGTCGTCTTCCAGTAACCTGTGTTTGTTGCTCGGTTTGTTCTGACTCCTGTTGGGTACTTCCGATCTCGAAGGCTGAAGAAGTACCACTCCTTCTCTCCCATTTTCGCCTTTGCTATAATTCATAATTCATTCAAACAAGAAACCGTAAATTATTCAATCGACAAGAAGCTACTATATTTCGCTACGAATATATGGGAAAATATCAATTAATTAACTATTATATATGTCACAAGAAATGTTATGCAAAAGATCTCATGAGTTTCATTTCTGAAAACTTGAAGCCAATCATGAAATCCAAGTAATAACCAAAAGAAAAATTAAATCAGTAAGTTGAGAAAACTAAGCAAGATCTATCAGCTAGCTACGGTCTAGTGATATTTATCTCAACTTTATTGGTCGTCTATTCCCCACATAAAAAAAAGGAAGAAAAAAAAGATTAAGTAAGCAAGATCTGATGAGAACTTTAGGTTTTGTTTTGATGGATACATGCAAAGACAAAGAAACTGATTTCAAGATGAATTGAAAACAAATGAAGCTAGTGCTCACAAATAAGTTATAATTGTCTATGTGCATATATATATATTTACCAGGGAGTTCCCATGGCTCGCACTTGTTGAGATCGACATCTGCGATCGCCCTTCCAGTAAAAGTAGCATCAGTTATCTTGTTGATGAGATAGAAGGTGATAAGTTCTTCATCTGTAGGATGAAATCTGAACCCCGGTGGCAATTCCTCCTTCTGTTCTCCTGTCATGATATGGAGATCTCAATTTCCTTTTCTGGTTTTGCCCTTCTGACTTGTCTGGCTTCTGCAAATATCACAAAGATCAAAGATATGAGATCAATCAAATCAAGAATATCTTACTGAATTGCTCGAAGACTTGCTAAGGTGGAAAAAAGTCTAACTATATATCAACACAACCCTAGAGGACGATATGGAAAACTTGTAGATGCTAAGTACCTAGCTATGGCCAAAAGAACCCCCACCCCCCCCACCCCCCCAAAAAAAAGGTTGCTAGATAGCTTCCTTGTACACATGAAGTTTTTACACTTTTCATAATATATTTTGATAAATTAATATCAAGAGCTGATGTGCATGAGGGAATACCACTGATCAATGATGAAGATGTGTGAGAGAGAGATAGTTGTGAGGCTTTTCTTGCTCACCATGCACAAGAAATTTAGAATTTAAACTTCCGGTAGCTATAGGGTGAAGAAAAGTAATTGGGGGTGTGTGTGTGTGTGATGGTGAAGTTCTCACCTACTTTGGGTCTTGAGCTTCAAGTTTCCAGGTTTAGGGCTTTAATAATATGAAAGATCATGGAAGAAATCCTTGTTTTGGGATTATTACATGATTGCCCTCCTGCACTCATGCACCTCTGAATTGCCAAAATTGTCCTTGCAATTAAAATATATTTGCATCCTACAGTTATTGAAGCTGGGTTTCCCCTTTTGTTAGGTAATATATATATGAATTAACTTTATATTTATAACCAAACTATATTATTATTAATTGAAGCTTGAACTTGAAATTTCAACAAATCTTAATTTTGGGGGACACAGCTGAGATTGGAGGGTTATTTGTGTAATTATATAACTGGGTCGAACCTTGAGAAGAAGAATACGCAGTGGAGAGAGGTAGCTAATAATAGCAAGAAGAAACAAAAAAAGATGACAGATTAAATAATCTATTAGCTACATGCAAATGAGACAAAGTCGGGGAGACCAAGCTTGTACACAGTAAATATATGTTCACTGCTTCACGTAAACCCCGTTTGGATTCACACACAAGCAGCCAGCGTGCTCGCTGGATATTCAGACACAGAGGTCCAATATCCTTCCATTTGAGCATAAATTCCTCTCCCCAATTGATGCGTGCCATGTCGTCGCCAGGTCCCCAACAATGACTATAATTCAATAAGAATATCGCTATGCTCGTGCAATTTGTTTACTAAACATATTGTTCACCAAATGATGTGACGGCCTGTCATTTAAAAGAGGCTTCCGCTCGCACACTGAATTGACGCAAGACTTAAAGATAGTCACATACTTGAAGGGTTGATACTAGAAAACAGGAGGGGGGATGGGGTTGGGGAAAAAAACTGACACAGCCCTTGGATTCCCTTCCCCTTAATTTGTTCCTTTTGTTTTGGCTCTTTTGTGCATATATATGTATTATAATTAGGAATCTAATTACTCACATTTTGTATGTTAATGTTGTTGTGTTGGAGAACAGGAACCCCAGTCTCATGGTACGACCCCCAAAATTTTTCACCCTTATTTTGTCGATGGCAAAATATAATGCAACACTTATTAATTGCGTATACAGTTTAATACAAAAAACTTGACAATGAAAACATTTATATCCTTAATATGTTTTGTTTTAAATTGCCAAGTGTTTGAGATTGGATACAATTGGTTAAGCTCAATTTTCATAAGACTCAAAAATTAATGCCTCATGCCTCAATGATAGGAGTTCGAAATCCGTTAGAAGCACTTTATGGCCAGGGGCAAGCCAAACTCCGAGCAGGTATTAATTCCACCCTTCGGATGTGAGGATACTTCGTGGTATTTACCACAAAAAATAAAAAATAAAAAAAATTAATGCCTCAAGCTCAACCAAAATTAATGCAGTATAGGAGAATTGACTATTATAATTCTTGCCCTTCAATGACTCAAGCTTATGCCCTTCAGTGCTTAATATAGAAAAATCAACATGTTCCTGGAGGCCTGAAAAAATTCGTACAGATCTGAGGACGAAACTGTTTGGCAAGAAGGAAAATGAGAGAAAACAAAGACGAAAATGTTATATGCTTTCGTACTTTTTGATCAATCATTTAGAAGACAGAAACCAATTTCTTTTATTTTTTTTTCCTTCTCCAATACCGCCCAACATTGCGGTCAATCACGCATCATCCTGGCAGTTTCGTTAAATTGCGAATTAGCAGCTTGTCTGTAAAGCTTTGGGTGGTCATGGAAGAACAGGTGAGAGTGATCAAGACCCCTACCAATCTGATATTTGAAGTGTTTGTCAAGTAAAGATAGAGAGATTGTGATGGATTGCTACTACATACTGCGTGGTAATAAAAATCTCATAATAAAGTCGCAGTGCTCAATAATTCTGTTTCTAAACCTCTCAATCTTTCCATAATCATAACCAACCTCATCACTAAAATGCGTACAGATGACGAGTTAAAGTTGCAATTGTGAGACATGAACACTTTCCAGGTTGCAGAGGAAAACAGTGACTTGGGCACTTTCAAATTCAACCTCTCTTCTCGGTTGCCCAATTTTGTGACTAAATAATTTGTGTCAAAGAAGATTAGCCATGATTCTGATCAAAGCAGTTGTTAGACGTTTGTCAGTGTAGCTATCAGGACCAGTTAATTGGCACAGAAGATTACTAGTATCTGTCATGCACTTCAAGATATAAAACTGTTTTAAGGTATGAATTTCGTTGAAATCTTCAAGCCTCCATGGAGATTATAACTAGGGTTTCAGCTCCACATTCACACATGATTAATATCATAGTATTATTAATTGGGGATGGGGGAGAATGATTATGGTTTTGTTATGAACTGATTTATCGGTGTAATTTGTTGATTGGGGATGGGGGAGAATGATTATGGTTTTGTTATGAACTGATTTATCGATGTAATTTGTTGATTGGGAATGGTGCAGAATGATTAATCTGTTATTCATGGAATAAGTCATACTATGTTGGAAATCGTCTTGTTATGTAACAAATTGTCATATTATATACCGAAAATATAAATTTATTATTACGTTTGCGTGCATGTACAAACAACGTAAAGAAAATTATAATTTGAGTCGTTTGATGGATACATGATTAAAGAATACGTGTTTGATCACATTCATTAGCTCAACGATTAACTTTTGAAAATTGAAACTTCGGGATGACTTTGTCAACTTCGATAGCGTATAAAGTAGTAGTTCCACATGTTTATTTTAAAAAAGACTCTAGAATCATTGAAGAACCCTAAACCAGTCTCACATTCATTCTTGACATATGCTACTTGTCAAGCACTTCAAAATAAAATACCAGGCTACTGTTTGATCTCACACATGCGTTACATCCTTCCCCGTAGTGCACAAAATGATGAAGCAGAACTTTCAAATAATTTATTGCAGAAAAAAGATCTAATTAGTTGTTGGGAGTGGAAGGGTGCAAGAAAGATATCATGCAGACAGCATAAGGGTGAGATAGATATTGTTCCCAAAAGGAGTGCAACAAAATTTCAAAGAGTAGTTGTATGTAGAGATTTCATGAAGCTAACTAGCTAGCCAATGTTTTATATGCAAAATCTACATATATATATATATATATATATTCTGGTGCTTTGTGGCGTAATACTCGTACGAAATCATGTGCTTAATTAACTCGATAAGTAGTTAATTAAGTTAATAGTATTTTGTTAGCATTTGTTCAAAAAATCTGCACAAGTTGTCTTTCCAATATATTAATTATTATCTATTCTTAGCTAAGTTAGGTTAGAACTTAGAACTTATACCTTAGAGCTTAGTCAGAAGCTAGAGCCATGCATACGTTTTCTATACAAGACTCTCTACTTCCACAGCTAGCTAGCTAGCTCTAGAGAGAAGCACAAAGCAAGGATTGAGTGCTGAGATTAGATTTTACTAAGAAAATATATATCCTAGTAAATATATAGATTACGACAAGAAAACTTGGGAACTATATCAACTAAAAACTCCGTTTCTGGTTGGCCACATTTATGGATTGTTATTGACATGAATTTTTTGAGGTCGTTTTCCATTATATATAGGTCATGTATATAGGTTTCTAGGCGCGGATTAGTTGTTAAACACAAAGAGAAGCAAAGAAACTCAGATAATCAAACTTGTCCAAATCCAAATTTGAAAAAGAAGAATGTGAGGTGAGAGGAATGTCCAAGACATGATTTGATCATTGCACATTAATAATGTCCGTAGTTTTTAGGGCTCTTTAGTACAACCCCATTTTCAGATTGGGATTTTTAGAGTTTAGGGTGTGGATTTTGGGATTTTAATTTTTGGTTTGAAATCTTCCTCCACTAAATAGTAGGGGAACTGGGTTATTATATCTAATTATCTTAGAACTCAGTTGCAAAGGACCCACTAGTATAGTAGTTTGGAGCAATTGCTCCCTCCCATGAAAGATCATGAGTTTGAGTCATAGCATCTGTATAGTATGTGTAAGTTTAATATACTATCACTTTTCTCAATAGAAAGGTCCTAAAAAAATAATGAACTTAGAACTCAGTTGGTGAACCATATTGAATTGAAGTAGATTATACTAAATTTTATTGGACTAGAATGACTAAATTGAATTGGATTGTACTTAATGCTAAGACTCTCTAGAGTATGGGATCAGGCAACAAGCCACCAACATGCATCATTCTCAATTCAGCTATTGGAGTTTGGGGTGTTAGCTTTTTGTATTTAAAGATATCACGTTGGCTAAGTTCTTCCACATTCACTTATATGGGCAGAGGTTCGAAACCCAGGCACCAAATGAATATTTTTATAAAGGCATCTCCATGAGAGTTTCCAAAATTTACCCAAATTTTAGTTAAAATAGCTAACCATTTAAAAGGTGGTTCCTTCAGCAATGTTCTCTATTTTAGCTAATCTCAAATATTTTATTATTTTAAATTCATTAAAATTTTTTTTAAAAGAACCCAAAATGGAAAGTAGCCCACCACCGAACCTCTCTCTCTCTCTCTCTCTCTCTCTCTCTTGTGCAGCTTTCATATTTGGCGAGCCTTAAATTTCTCTCTCCTCCTTGCTAGATGTAGCGAGCCAAAATGGCGAGAGAGGTAGTGACGTTGTTGGAGTGTTGTTTTTCCTTCTTTTTGCTAAAATAGTTAGGGATGAGAGAGTAAAGAGTCTCTTGGAGATGCTCTAAAACCCCCCTCCCCCCAATCGCTGTAAAATAGTAAAAAAAAAAAAAAAAAAAAAAAAATACATTGGTCATTGGGCCTTTGAGTCGTGGACCTAATGGCACTTTTGCTTCTAACATAAAGGGCCGGGATATACAAAAGGGAGATTCACTAATATACCCAATATGGGGGCCTAAATTATAAAAATATCCCATATGAAATGAACTTTATAAACACACCCAAAACCCATTTACAACATAACAAAGAGGCTTTAACTTCTTATAAATTACAAAACTACCATAAATTTCTTAAAACAAGCCCAACCTCAAAATCTTATAAAAATACCCAAAACACTCAATAGGGCATTAAAGAAATTTAATAATCAATATTAAATCCAATAAGGCCAGCTATCATTTTTGGGGTTTTTTTTTGGGTTTGTTTATAGAAATTCAATAATGGAGGGTTTATCTATAATATTAGTGCTAAGAATGGATATATCACTAAATATCTCTATACAAAATGGGCTGAATTTGGGCCAATCAACAAATGACATGGCCCAAACCTGAACGATCTCCCGAGCTTAAACTCTCTTTTCCGCTTCACTTCGACTCTGAAGTCTGTGTGGCTCCGTGACATAATTCCAGTCGCTCAGTCCTTTCCCTCTCAGCCAGCCCCGAACACTTTGTGCGAGAGCTAACTTTGTCTCCATATCTAGAAAAGCTTCAGAATCTTGTTGGGTTTTCAGCTCCATTAGAGTACCGAGGTATGTGGTCCTTCGCTTGAACCTTTGTTCTCTTTTTGCCATTGTTGTTGTGAATTACGGCCAATCTATGCTTCGTCTTAACTAGGCCTATTGATGTAGTATAAGTTTGTTCTAAACATGCAAAAGCTTTACTTTTATTTCCTTTTTCACTTGTAATACTGTGCTAGACTTCATCTTCTTTTTGGTCTGTTAAAATTCAGGGCTATTAGATTTGCTCCTCATGTGTTTGTAATAATGCCTCTTTCAAGTGATTTTGGAAGTGAACAGAACAGAAGGAATGTGTCTATTCCAAAAAAAGAGTGCGAGAGAATAAGAATATTGTTTAAGATGAACGGGTTAAAGAAGGAGGTTGGGTATAGACTGATAATGAGGTCTTACTTTTCTACAACGGAGATTAGAGACACCAACTTACAGAAAAGATTCATCAAGTATTCAAGAAAATTGAAAAGATAATAAAATCTGGGATGGGTTATGTTCATTGGGTGAGGTGAGGTACTGCATGACGGGAAAGAAAAGTTTGAGAGTTCATAGTGAGAAGTTGGCAATTGGGTTGGCAGTGGTCTGTGGTGAGCTGGAGAAGGGGAATGAGGCAATTCGAATTTTCAAGTACTTGAGAGTACGTGGGGGACTGCCATGCGTTTATTAAAGGCTTGTCAAAGGTTTTAAAGGTAGTATTTCTGGTGATAGATAGTTTGAGGATGGCTTGTGCTGTTGTGAAGACTTTTGGTGATATTTACTAGTGACTGCTAGGGAATGGAGATTTGGTTAATGGTATTGCAGGCATTGATACTCAAAATTTGAGAGCCTTTTTAGTTAGAAGCATCGTTGATTCTGTCTTTGTTCTTATTCACCCACCCATTGCACAGTCTGCTACCAAGAGTGCCTGACTGTAATAGCATTGCATTCAAACTGATGCACCTTGAAAGTATTCGTTGGTTTTGCATTTTTTTGTTCCCTTTGTATTGAGCATGCTATCCTGATTGTTACTATTCTGCAGCTAGCTGAAAAAGTCATGTCGGAAAAGGAAGCAAACCCAACGTTTAGCAAGTCGACTGGCCTGCCTCGGAAGCGTTTCTACCGAGCAAGAGCACACAGCAACCCTCTGAGTGACTCCCACTTTCCAGTACCTATCTCCCCAGGTCAAGTGGATTATTCTCTTCATTACCCGCAACACTTCCCCTCATCTGATCAAGTGGATAGCGGTAAAAAGATCCAGTTTGCAGATATTGGTTGTGGTTTTGGGGGACTGCTGATAAGTCTTTCAACCCTTTTCCCCGAGACGCTGATGATTGGAATGGAGCTTAGAGATAAGGTGACAGAGTATGTCAAGGAAAGGATCTTGGCTTTAAGGGTGACAAATCCTGGCCAATACCAAAATATCTCAGTGGTTCGGACTAATTCCATGAAATACATTCCAAATTACTTTGAGAAAGGACAGCTTTCGAAGATGTTTTTCTTGTTCCCAGATCCTCACTTCAAAGAGAAAAACCATCGCCGTAGGGTGATCAGTCCATTCCTACTGGATGAGTATGCTTATGTTCTAGAAGTTGGTGGGATTATATACACAATTACAGATGTTGAAGAACTTGGCGACTGGATGAAGGCTTGCTTGGAGAATCATCCTATGTTTGAAGCTCTCACAGATGAAGAGCTCAAAGCCGATCCAGTTACGAAGCTATTGAGTTCTGCAACCGAGGAAGGACAGAAGGTTGACAGAAATGGGGGACAGACTTTCCGAGCGGTTTACAGACGCATTGCACCAGCCCTATGACTTTCGGCGTCAACCAGTGGATTGATTAACTTGGAATTGTAGTGGATTTTTGTGTGTGTCAGTTTGCAACTGCCAAAGTACTCTTGACGAGGGTTGTCTGGTTTTTGAAATCTTTGATTTACTAATTTTATTGAACTATACATGTTTTTCACGCTACAGTTCTGTTATCAATCTTTCTCTTGATACATGGATTTATCATCAGACCTGTGGATGGACATGTTTACCTCATTCATGCTATTTGTTTTTTGTTTTTTGGGGAAAGATGCTTTATTAAAAACATCGTAAGAGTGTATGAAGGATTATATAGGATGAAATAATCCAAAACCCAACGTGAGATTCAGGAATAAAAACTTAATCTTAAAAAAGAGAAAGAACAGAGAGAAAGAAAGAAGAAAAAAAAGATTGCACTTTTGGTTACCAACCATCATCCATTACTTTCAAGTTGGTACGCTAAATTTCCTTATCAATGAAAAAGAAAAGCCTATTTCTTACTTTTTTCTATGAACTTCAGGGGATGTGAATTCTCTTTTCTAAAGTTTGAAGATATTTTTTTAAAGTAAAAATAAAAATAATTGGAAGATATAATTTTCTTTAAATAAAATAAAAAAGACACGAGATGATGAAGTTGGAATTCAACAACTTATCGGATCAGCAACCGCACCGACCCAAAAACTGAGCTGATATCAGCCTTTGCCGACTGAGAAGAAGCAAAAGACGAAGCATTTATCGATTTGATTGAAGGAAATATGGCCACAAACAGCAGAGAAGCCCGAAGGAGGAAGATCATGGAGCGAGGATCCGATCGCCTAGCCCTAATCACGGGTCGGATCCAAACCCTACCATCCTCCTCTTCTTCATCAACAGACCCAGCAACTCACCGTGAAGATACAGACCCACCATCGCACCCGTTGATTTCCCATGATCAGGAGCCCCAAATCCATGTCCCAGATCAAATCCCAGGTACCAATCTTTCACTCTATCTCTCTCTGTCTTTGCATAAAGTCTTCATCTTTAGTTGTTCCTGTTGCTAATGGTGTGGTGGGTCTGCAGTGGTCACCCCTGAGATTGAGGAAAAGGGGTTTGATTTGCAATGTGACACAAATACTGAAGAAGTCTTTGGAGCCACTGATTCACAAACCCAACCACTTGTGTCCTCATCATCAACGGTTGAAAGGCCATCACCATCATCATTACCAACATTAACACCATTTCAAAAACCTAGACTTGTCACTTGGACTGGAATAAGTGATGCCATTGAAGCAACAGAAAGGACCCGCATTTACATTTCAGTGGCAGTAGCCTTCTTGGTGGTTTTAGCCCATCTGAGTTTTCCTTTACTAGGGAGTAAAATGGTGAAGACTCTTTTGGGTTTTAGGCCTCTCTATCTAGTTTTGGTGACCAATGTAACACTTGTGCTTGTGCGAATTGTCGAGAGCGGTAGACGAAGACTCTCTGGAATGGCTGGCAGACTTGGTGAGCTTAATATGCCAGTTGACGGATATGAATGGGCTGATCGGTTAGGCAGGACTTTACAGGCAGGCTTGGTGGTGAAGAAGGTACTTGATGCTCTGCTCATGGACTGTGCCGTGTATGCAATAATTGTTGTATGTGGCCTCTCTTTTGCACAGCAGTTGAGCTAGAATTTGCATGTTGTATTTTTGGTATGTCAGCTTATATCAGTGAACTTGTTCTTCTCGTTTTGTATTGGTTGGAAAGCTGTAATTGGAGACAATGAAATCTTTTCACTTCAACTTACAATATGCAGCTTAACTGCTGCTTGAGCAGCATTTTCTATATGTTAATATTCCTTTGGGATAACAAAAATGATTTTAGAAAAAAATAGCAAGTACCTTTCTTCTGTACATGACTGGCTACGATAAACTTCATATTCTTCCTACTCATCTTGACAGAAATTCTCACCATTTTCCTCAGCCGTTTGTCTGCCAAATACCCTACAAAACAAAAAAAAAGAACAAAAACCTTGGTGAAGTTAAACAATTCAGGTAAAACTGTTAAATTGAATGCAATGGGGTTGCAAACTTGAGGGAAACCAGTTTTGAATACACCAATTTAGATTTCTTTTAATACAATGAAGCGATTACTCACAGTTTTGTGTTATGGGCGTTTCTGAGCTGGAGCATATCTTGATTTTAACACACAAAGTGACTGCAATCCTCAGGAATGGCTTCTATCTTTTCATCTGGTATGTTGTGTTGTAAAACGAGAAGCTCTAGCATGGAAAATATGTGTTTTGCAAATGGTTTCGAATCGTCGCCTGATACAAACTCCATAACCACATTGTTAACCTCAATCAAACTGCAACCTGGGGTTCTCTTCATGCTCTTACTTCTTATGAGTTTCCTCATCCTTGACACATCTTCCCACTTCCCCTGGTCTGCATATATATTGGAAAGTAAAACATAGTTCCCTGCATCATCTGGTTCAAGCACTGAAAGGTGCTCCATGGCAGTAATGGCAATCTCAAGATTGCAATGAGTCCTGCAAGAACTTAAAAGAGAACCCCAAATCTTTGACTCTGGCTTCATGGGCATCTTCTTTACTCTGTCAAAAGCCTGGTCAAGGTGCCCAGCGCGTCCAAGAAGATCAACTAAACAACCATAATGCTCAATTTCCGGCCCTATGTTATAGTCTTCTCTCATAGAATCAAAGTACTTAACTCCCTCATTCCATAAGCCAGCATGGGTGCAGGCTGATAAAAGACCAAGAAACGTAATGCCATTAGGTTTAACCTTTGCTTGCAGCATGCCTTGAAAGAGTTCAATTGCTTCGCAAGCTTTACCGTGATTCGCCAGCCCTGCAATCATGGTACTCCAAGAAATCACATCCCTCTCCAACATCTTATCAAACAAGTGCCAAGCTTGGTCAATGCAACCACATTTCACATACATTTCAATCAGGGCATTGCAAACACAAGTAGACTGCAATAGCCTTTTCTTATCTGAGTACATGTGAATCCATTTCCCAACCTCAAGAGCTCCAAGCTGCGCGCATGCCGGCAGAACAGAAACAATACTGATCTCATCAGCTTCAATACCCAACACTTGCATTTGCCGAAAAATGTCCAAAGCTTCGGCATAGCACCCGATTCTGGTGTACCCTGAAATCATTGTTGTCCAAGACACAATAGTCTTGTTAGGGATTTCCTCAAACACTCCTCTGGCCTTTCTCATCTGCCCTAATCTAGCATACCCAGAAAGGAGACTATTCCAAGAAACCACATCCATTTCAGTCATACCATCAAACACTTTGTGTGCATCTGTTAAGTTCTCACACTTGGTATATAAATCTAGCAGTGCATTTTCTATCAGCAAATGGGACTTTGGGCCAAATTTACATATTTGGGCATGAATTTGCGTCCCCAAAACTTCACAAAATAGCCCTGCACAAGATTTTATTATAAACGGGAACGTGAATTTGTCAGGAAAAATGGGGTTCTCAGCTTGTGAGTGTCTCGGCATTTGCTTATACAAAGTGACTGCCAAATCATACATTTGATGATGCGTGTAAGCTCTGATCATCGCATTGAACAAAAACACGTTTGGCTCAAGAACTTGTTTGAATAGCAAACTGGCGTAGCCTAAATTCCCACTGTTGTCACAAACATCCACCATTTTTGTGACCAAGAAATTGCTTTGTGATAACGAGAACTTCACAATTTGAGCGTGAATTTTCTTCAACCCGGAAGTGTTTTTACAATTTAGCAACGTGGGTACGAAGAAATCTTCCAATTCTCTGACACTTACGGCGCTGATTCTCGTTGCCATGACTTTGTAGAACAGGGATTTTTTGGGAAAAGAGAAAGTTGCAAGGATGAATGAGAGGCAGAGGTTGGCGAATCTCCTGAGGAACTGTTCGAAGAATTTGCTACTTGATCAGGGAATGCAGGCTCATGGGACAGTAATGAAAATGGGACTTGGGTTTGATTTGATGTTAAGCAATGATCTTATAGATATGTATAGTAAATGTGGTAGAACGGGCATGGCCTGTGCTGTGTTTGATAGAATGCCTGAAAGAAATGTGGTTTCTTGGACAGCTTTAATGTGCGGCTACTTACAGAATGGTAATGCCAAAGGGTCACTGTCTCTTTTTAGTAAAATGGGACTTTCAGAAATTAAGCCGAACGAGTTCACTTTTTCAATTAATCTAAAGGCGTCTGGTTTTGTGGGCATTGCTGAGAATGGAATGCAGATTCACAATATGTGCACTAAATCTGGTTTTGAATGGGTAACGGTGGTGAGCAATTCTATCCTTGACATGTACACAAAATGTGGAAGAGTTAGTGAAGCTGCCCGGATGTTCAACGTTATGCCAGTTAAGAACCTTATTACTTGGAATGCGATGATAGCCGGATACACACTCGAAGGAAATGGGGAGAGAGCTTTGCTTTTGTTCAGGAAAATGCAAGGGATGGGAGAAGTCCCTGACGAGTATACGATTACAAGCACACTGAAGGCTTGTAGTGGTCTTGGAGCAATTCGGCAAGGAAGCCAAATACATTCCTCCTTAATCACAAGAGGATTCTTGTGTTCAGTTCGGACCATGATTGCAGGTGCTCTTGTTGATCTGTATGTAAAATGCAGCCACTTGACCGAAGCTCAGAGAATATTCGACCAAATCGAACAGAAGAATCTAGTATCCTGGAGTGCCCTGATTCTGGGTTATGCCCAAGAATGCAATCTACTACAGGCCATGGACTTGTTTAGGCAGCTCAGGGTTAGTATACAACATCAAGTAGATGGGTTTGTTCTCTCAAGTCTTATGGGTGTGTTTGCTGATTTTGCTCTAGTGGAACAAGGTAAGCAAATGCATGCTTTCACCATTAAAATTCCATCTGGTTTAGACATATCCGTAACTAATTCAATTCTGGATATGTATCTCAAGTGCGGATTAACAGATGAGGCAGAAAAACTATTTAATGAAACTCCTGTGAGGAATGTCATTTCTTGGACAATTATGATCACTGGATATGGAAAGCATGGTCTTGGAAGGAAATCCATACGTCTTTTCCACCAAATGCAATCAGAAGACATAGAACCCGACGGGGTGACTTACTTAGCCGTTCTCTCAGCCTGCAGCCATTCTGGACTCGTTGAAGAATGCCAAGAGTACTTCTCAAGATTGTGCCATGACAGACGGATTAAACGAAATGTAGAACATTATGCTTGCATGGTTGATCTCCTTGGCCGAGCTGGACGCTTAAAAGAAGCTAAGAATTTGATTGACAGCATGCCTTTAAAACCAAATGTTGGAATATGGCAAACTTTACTAAGTGCTTGTAAAGTACATGGAGACTTGGAAATAGGGAGAGAAGTAGGAGAGACACTATTGAGATTGGATGGCGATAACCCTGTCAACTATGTGATGTTGTCAAACATCTACGCTGAGGCTGGCTACTGGAAGGAGTGTGAGAGATTAAGAAAACTGTTCAATATGAAGGGGTTAAAGAAAGAGGCAGGACGCAGTTGGGTAGAGATCGATAAGGAGGTCCACTTTTTCTACAACAGGGACGAGACACATCCACTTACAGAAAAGATTCATCAAAAGTTGAAGGAAATGGAACAGAGAATAAAATCTGAGATTGGTTATGTTCATGGAGTGAGGTTTGCACTGCATGACGTGGAAGAAGAGTCAAAGGAAGAGAGCTTGAGAGTTCATAGTGAGAAGTTGGCAATTGGGTTGGCACTGGTATGTGGTGAGGTGGAGAAGGGGCACAAGACAATTCGAGTTTTCAAGAACTTGAGAGTATGTGGAGATTGCCATGCGTTTATTAAAGGCTTGTCAAAGGTTTTAAAGGTGGTGTTCCTGGTGAGAGATGCAAATAGGTTTCATAAGTTTGAGAACGGATTGTGTTCTTGTGGAGATTATTGGTGATGTTCAGCGACATGTTGCACTTCTATAAGCCAAATTTAAAATTCAACTTTGTCCAATCTCCTTTGAGCAGTATTTGGTTTAGGTGTTTTCCTCACATACAGCTTCAGATAATATTACAAAATGATTGGACAGTAATCTCGTCCTTAGTTGGCGAATCTAATGGAGGTTTCAATCCGACGGATCAACTGTAATTTGAAGGTAAAACGGAAGAAATGATGGATGGGAACTCTTACTCTGACTATTGAGAAATACAAATAGGCCTGTAATTCATGCCTTTGTTACACCTGAAAGTTCAAAACTTCCGGACGTCTATAGAGTTAAAAAGAGTTAAAAAGTACGAAAAATCAACTTTCTTTATATCGGGGGTCACGAACTCTGCATTTTTCAAATCGCCAATGTAATCTAAATAGGGGAGGAAAAAACTCGAACATTTCATTAAAAAAAAGCCACTACAGTATCTATACATATACAAGTGAAGCTTTCTCTCTCCTCTCAATCTATCTCCAATTTTGGAAGAGTTAGCTTGTCTTCTTCAGAATTCTACTAGCATGGTGGACCCAATTAAATTTCATGGTGCGGTTACTCAGGTTGGAATTTTAAAGAAGGGGTGATCAAGGGCCTGTCGAGCCATGAGACGTTCAGACGGATCATATTTCAGCAAACCATACAACAAATCAGTCAGAGAGGAACTGGCTTTCGAGGACCCTACGTGTCGTGATATCAGATCCTGGATACAACAGCGATGTCATCATATCAAATAACAAATCAAGAGATTTTACAAGATGCCAAATCATGTAAAAACTTTTGAGAACCAAAAGGACGGAGAAAAGGAAAAAGAAAAAACCTTTAAACAATCAAGCTTCTTCACAGCTCTAATACTCTCCCTTGAAACTGCTCCTAGAGGCCAATTTAGTCGTGCACCCCGCCTAAAATACTTTTCAGCACCATTGCTGCACATGGGTAAAAAGTTGATATGTGAAAACTCATAACATAGTAAGATCTAAGAAAATTTTGAAGTCGGAAATGAATATGTCTCGTTCATTCTCGGAGGGGAGAAAAACATGCTACTTTCATGGAATTATCAAAAAGGGTGCTCTAGATGCAATACAAATCAACTCAGTCAACCAAAATCTGTCTGGATAAAATAACCAGAGTCAGTAAATTTCACTACATACTTGGCTCTTCGAGTCATTTGCTGCGGCAGAGGTCCCAATACCCTTTCCATCATTGCCAAATGCTCCAAGTTCTCATGTGTCTGAAATAATGCGTTGCCCTGACAAAATTTCACATCTTAAAAATTCCTGACCAGATGATCCATATTCCAACCAGGATAAAGAAATGTGGAACTAACCACGCAAAGTTCAACAAGAATGCAGCCTATACTCCACAGATCGCATGGATAACTCCATCCTAGACCTGCAAAATACACATACCCCAAGGATGAAAACATGATAGGTGTTATTAGTGGTCATTATCTGAAATGCAGGCAAGATATCGTTTGGCCATTGTAACCAAATATTATTAATACATATTTGGTGATTCTTTCTTTACTTTCATAAGAAACTGAAATGACGTAGAAAATAAAGTACAACCAAGTAAGGTTGAGAAGTGGGGATATGAACAAGATATAAAAGGCCAACTATATAAATATGAGAAATAACTTCAAAATTTAATGTCAAAAAACACACCCAAAACTATAAATAACAGCTAAAATCTATACAAACCAACACACACAAAAAGAGAGACAGACAGGTTCGAGATGAAGATGTTGACAATGTTGCCAAACTCAAACAGACCAAGCAAAGCGATCAGGGCAAAAGATAATTTGAACAGTCCATAAATTAAAAAAAAAAAAAAAAAAAAAAAAAAAAAAAAAAAAAAAATGATTAATGATGAAAACCCTAATAATAGATTGTATAACAGGTCCACCGTCAATGTCATAGTGTAATAAGGCCTAATTAGGTTGCTAAATGGTTAACATCACTGCCACCATGTAATGTATCCTAATTGAACATATTGGGGGATCCCAACATCAAAATATGGGGACTAAAGAACCACTATGTTGTCCTTATTGGACCTTCAATGACTAGTTGAACATTCCCTTTAAAATGAAATTGTTGTTAAGTATGCCAGCCTCAAGCACTTGCTTCTCTGATCACCAATTAGATAGTCTTTTTGTTAATCGCCTTATTGTTTTGTGTGGTTTTTCAGTCGGAAAAGATAAATAAAAACAAAGAAATGATACAACAAATTTTGGCTTGCTAACACTGTAATTAGTTACCTAGAATAATCTCAGGGGCTCTGTAATGCCTGGTAGAAACAATGGAGCTATGAATCTGATTATCAAACACAGTACTACCAAAATCAATCAGCTTAATGGCACTAGACTTGGGCAAGCACCTGTAATGCGTTTCATCTGAAGAAAACCTCTGTACCATTTTCAAGCACTTTTTCATTAACTGAGTCTGTCCCAAATATGAAACATGTCATAAACTTTGAATTGTAAAAGTCCAAGATACCTTAGTACGAGGAAGCTTTACATATTCAGAGGACACAAGAAGAATATTTTCTGGCTTCAGGTCAGTATGGATTAAGCGTAAGTCATGCATATCTGTTGGATATAATAAAGAAGAAAAGAAGAAAAACAAGTTAAACAAAAGGACTCAATTATAACACCCTGTTACAGCCCTGGACAAAGAAAGCAGGCCAAGAGAGAGATTTGGGTGACTGATTAGAATGAAAATAATAAAGAGAATGAGACTAAGAACTATCCACACACATGCTACAGATTCCAAAAGCTGTCGTCCAAATTCCCGAACAAGATCCACAGGGAATGGGCAGTATTTATTTCTCTTTAGAAAATCAAATAAGCTTGGTCCAAGCTTCTCAAACACCTGATAAAACCATTAAATGCATCCAAAGGAAGGTTTCTGTTTAGTTCCCAGTTCCATGAATAAAGTCCTTGGACATACTAATATCAAACTGTAACTCAATTTGAAAGCTCTATCGTTATTACATACATATGGGAATCAACCATCTAAACTACTTGATGAAAAGAAAAAAAAGCAGGCAGGGTCAAATCTATTTTCAGGCAGTGCCACATCATCAGCAGAAAACAGTGAATTAAGCAATAACCAATTCTGTCATATTCAACTAAAACAAAATATTAGACGAGTACACGAGTTGCATGAAGGAACTTAATTGGATACTTACTATGCATATGTGATTGCGGTAGTCAAACCAATTGTGAATCTGCACACAGCTGCAGTACATACAGGAAGTTAGACCACATCACAGTGATGAACCAACAATTCTATCAGCTGAAACCCAGAAGACATGTACCATGAGATGCCCTTATCATGCTTAGCAAGCTGCTGAAGCACATCAACCTCAATCATTGCTGCCTCCCGGTATTTTCGTATGCTCCGAACTACCTTGATTGCCACATACTCTCGTGCTTGACGGTCCCAACATTCCAAAACTCGGCCAAATGTGCCTACAGCACTAGCAATATGCTGAATGACTCAAGCAGAATGAGAAAAATATAAAATCTTGTAGACAGCAGGACACTTGACATCTAACCTTCACCCATCTTCTTAAGTATTTTATCTGCCAAATCAATATCATTAACCAAGTCAATATCTTTGAACAAATCCACAACATTAACCTACACAAACACATTAGCAAAGACAAATATGCAAAAGACTCTCTGAAAAGCTCACATCTTGGAGTGAGATTCTCGCCAAGATTGTAAACATAATGTCCTTCCCGATCATCGTCTCGTTTCGGAGGCGATCCACGCCTTCCAATCCCTTCATTACATGCCACCATGGCCCGTTGCGCCTACAAAACAACATGCATCCATCAACCCTTTTCAGCCCTGTCTGATTACCTTTATCTCTGCAAACCCCTAAAAAAAGCCTTAAGCTTGTCGTTTCGAACCCGTTCCCTTCCTCACTGGAAACCCTAACCCTAAAATTTCAAGAACCGAAACCAACCTCTGGTTCAGATTGAGATGGGCCGACGTCCCACGCCGAACGGGGCCGCTTCCTGATTCGACTTTGCGAGTTCTCCATCCTAGTCTCTAGTCCCACCGTCGTCACCATTTCAAGCAATCGATCCCCCGTCTGCAACCAAAATTCTACAAAAATTTGGGAAATTTAGGGCTTCTGAGCCAAGCTTCGGTTGATTAGTCAGAGAGAGAGCTCCTAAAGCACCGTAGAAAGGATCTCTGAGAAAGAAAGAAAGAAACGCACAGAGATTGGCACCATGCACCGTTCCGTCGGACGGAAGAGATTAGGGTTTGTTAAAGTTTGTTATTTAAGTTACAGTCTGCGCCTATTTGATTTGAACCCGACGGTGGAGATTGCACGATACTGTGAAAAAAACGCATGGCGGTTGTAAACGGTTTAAGATAGAAAAAACGGTGTGCCGCCATTTTTACTTGCTATTAGTGGTCTAAGCCCAATCTAGGCCCATCTAACTAAAGCTTCAAGCCCAATTTAAATTTATTTCTTATTTTATTTTAATTTTGATTTATCACTATTTAATTAATTATTATTTGATAGAACAATGATATTTTTGCAACGGGTAAAAGGGGGTGTATTCTCGGAGTGTAAAGTCACTTTTACATCATTTTTGTACTTTTGTGGGTTGTAAATGTGGCTTTTGCTCCAACGAGGAATATGTAAATTTAAAGATGTATAATTGATTTTGTTCACTTTTGTTCACATTTTATCACTTTTTCTCGTGTAGGCCTTACTTACAATGGATGTAAAAAAAAGATGCACATGTGCATTTAAATTTGCATATTATAGTTGTGATGCAAATTGACAATCGTTTACATTCCTATTATAGATGATTCGGATTACAAATTGTGTATATTTAACATACACCTCATTATATACAACTCCCCACTAGAGATGCTCTAACATCATGATTAGCTCATAGTGTCATTGCGCATAAAATAGAATTATATAAAAAGAAAACGGGGACCAGCAAATCCACCATAGCCCACAGTTTTGAGCCTCTCTCCACTTCCATTGGTCAGCAAATCAAATTCCAAGGAAAAAAGCAAGCGTGCAATCCACGCGACCAGCACACGCCCCTATATATATACAAATACACTTCTCTCAGACTACATACACTTGCGCTACAGAACACAGGAGGAAGAGCAAGAGCAGCCAAAAAGAAAATGCAGAGCCTGCAAGCCAAGGCCGCCGAGTGGAGCGGAGTTGACTCGGCGGACGCGTTCGCCATCGACGAGTCGAACCTGTTTGAGAAACTAGGGCTCCAGGCCTTCGTCAACCTCTCAACCAATTTCTACAGCAGGTTCATTCCTTCGTCTTCACCAATCATTATGCTTCCATTCTTTGTAATTGATTGAAATTGAATTGGATTTTGATTGGTGGTGAATTTACAATTGAGCGCTTGATCGCCAGGGTTTACGACGACGAACAAGAATGGTTTCGATCAATTTTCGCCAGTTCCAAGAAGGAAGACGCAATCCAAAACCAGTACGAGTTTTTCGTGCAGAGAATGGGAGGCCCAAATCTCTACTCTCAGAGAAGAGGTATGTATGTGGCCCTTCTTTGGTTATTTTATTTTATTTTTTATTTTCAGTTCAAGTTCTTCAGAAAAGGCAGAGGCTTTTGCTCTTGTTAGTTTGGTACACCATATTGAATTGGATAGGAAATTGGTTTATTTTTAACCAAATTATACTAAGTTAAATCATATTGAACCAATAATACTAAAAAATATATTATTACGTGCGACAGTAACACCAAACATATGTGAATAGTTATATGTATGGTGGAGTTTAGCATTTTTAGCAGTACACGATATAATTTAATTTGATATAATTTGAGTGAACTCGTAGCACCGCCACTTCCGATAACGCCATGTGAGGTTGCTGTCAAACCAAATAATATCTAGGATTGAGTTTATTTATAAATTTGTATAATATCTAAGTCTTGCACATTATTGTCCGGTCCCATGTAATCTGTTGCAATTTAGTACAATGCGGTTATTTTAGGGTTTAATTACTGATGGATCGAGTCCTTACTGTCCAATTGGAACTTGGCAGGCCATCCGGCTCTGATTGCACGTCACCGTCCATTTCCCGTCACGCACGAAGCGGCAGAGAGGTGGCTGCATCATATGCAGCAAGCACTGGACACCAGTTCGGACATTGATGCCGAGTCCAAGCTCAAAATGATGAACTTTTTTAGGCACACTGCGTTCTTCCTTGTGGCTGGAGACGAGTTGAAGAAGAATCAGACTCAGGCACAGCAACCTCCTCCATGTAAGCATGGAACCAGCAACAACCACCATGCGTGAAAAAAAATTTGAAAAAGAAAAGAAAGAAAAAGAAATCTCCATGATCAGTATTCAATTGTTGACAGGAGCAACAAGACTGTAATACAGTAATCTGAAGTTAACCCTCTTAATTATGTGCTTCAAAAGGAGCACAGCTTTGTTACATTAGCCCTTTATGAATAAATCCAAGAAAATAGATCATAGGTTTATGCTTCAATTCAACTGAAAATCTTATTAATTTAGAGCTCAGCTCAATTTCAAGATTTTATGTGCTGTGGAGCTAATTGGATCATTCCTTCAGGATTTTTTATAAAGAAATATTTGTGTGCCAATTTGGGTCAACCTTAGGACACCAAATTTTCTCAAAATATGGGTTTAATATTTGAGACCCACGCAACCTAAAAGGTTTCGCATTCAGCCCAACTAAACCCAAGAAAGGTTGCATAAGAAAAGTGTTAAAATAGTTTCGAAACCCGTTGAAAGTGATTAATCCCAACCTTCAAATGTGGGGACACCTCATGGTATTTACCCAAAAAAAATTGTAAAAACAGAACCCCTGTTTCAAACTTGTAGTCCATTGGCACCCCATGGGAGAATGTCACTCGAGACTTGAGCCTATAAAAATGATTTGTATGAACATTTTGTCATCACGAGAGAAATCACTTGCATACCAAAAAACAAATAATTCAGGGAAACTTTTCAAAATCATTAATTTGCAGTTAGTAAAATTGGTAACAGAAGGAATATTATTATGGCAAAACAGAGAAATAGAGAGATGATTTGGCGCATATATGGATTTAGCTAAGTTGGTTGGAGCAGATGTGCACGACTTGCCAACACTTCCCACTCTACATCCGAATTCAAATCTCCTTCCCTGTAATTTAGATTAAATTAAAATAGAACATTATTTGTATTTAAAAATAATAAAAAATAAATAAAAAGGAGAGAGATGATTTGGTATACATGAGCAAATCCATTTCATGTTGTAATTAATTATGCAAATCCCATTATCTTTGGGTTCGGTCTTTACGAAGTCTAATGTTAAACTGAACAAAAACTGGATAGAAACAATTGTAAATTTTGAAAGATTTTCTTGCATCACGGTGTCTTCCACTTTTGAATGAAAAAAGAGAGTAGGCCAATGGCCACTAGCCCTCTCAAAGCTTATCTGCTTGAGCCTTGAGCCCAAAGAAAAGAATAGCAGCTGAAACATCCAAGGTTCTCTCTTTTTTTTCTAGTGTTTTTGCCTTTGCTTGTGATCATAAGCTAAGGTGTCGGATCACTAAGGCCGACTTTCGTCCCTGCTCGACTGGTGGGTCTTGCAGTCAAGCTCCCTTCTGCCTTTGCACTTGAGGGCCAATCTCCGTCTGGCCCGAGGAAACCTAAAAACCCAGATACCAAATGGAAATGGTCTTTCTAGTTTGTACAAATCATTGTAAGAATGGCAAAACATGAACTAGTGTTCAAATTCAACCAATATTTTACATGGATTTTCTTGGCTTAAGCTTTAAACAAAAATTAGAAGCAACTACGGGACTTTAATTTGGAAGAGGGAGAGGAAGGATAGAGAGAAAATATATTTCAGAAAATAATAGTGGAAGGGTTTTTTTACACCAAGATCAAAAACTGCATACACAAATTTTCTTTGGCATTCATAACATCAATCCAGTAAGTTCCTATTCTTATGCAAAATCATGGATGGATCAGCAAAACGAGCTGAGAAACACCGGGACAAGTTATCCGGCTCCATCGATCCCATCCCTGGATCGAAATTTTTCGAATATGTTTTTGGATCATAAGAAGCTGCCTGCGGCGTGACAGTGCTAGAACTGAAACTTTTCTTCTTCTTGTCCATCTTGAATTTCTTCCAAAATCTTTGCCACCCCGGCTGATCAGGCTTGTTGTAATTGCTTGACATGTAAGGCTGCCCCAACCTGATGCTTTGGCTGCGTGAATTGCACCACTCTTTGATGCCCATTGCTAAGACAAAGACCAAGTTTTGTGCACCTCATTTGGCTATAGAACCAATTATATATACATGTAAAGGTGTGAAGGGCATGGCTCTGGCTTTTGACTTGGCTCAACTTGGCTGCTCTTCAAATGGACCAAAGTTAATGGTTATATTCCAATATATGCGATTCTTTGAAAAATATTATTGTTAAAGAAATAAAGAAAATTGGAAAGGGTGTTTTTTATATATAGATATTGCCTCAAAGATATCTTTGTCAAAAAAAAACAAACAAACTTCAATCCAAAATCATTTGACCAGTCAATTAGATGATTGTTATTATAGTCTTTTCCCGAAACACCGTATTCGTCTATTTTGTTGGTCCCAATTAGATGTCTTAATGATTCAATTTGCATAATTTTTTGCAAAGATGATCTATGAATGAAGACTTGAAAAATAAACGGTTTTGATGGTTGAAAAAATATTCGTAAAGTACCTTAAAAGGTGTCCCTCAATATAAGGAACTGCATCTTCCAATATATACGATTCTTTATCCATTTGAAAGATATTACTGTTAAAGAAATAAAGGAACTTGGAAAGGGTCTTCATCTTCAGCTGAAGAAGCTTTGATGAAGCTGCTTTGGTGTCTCAGCCAGTCTAAAGGTTACTAGAAGCACAGAGAGAGAGAGAGAGAGAGAGAGAGAGGTGTATGTCAGCACCAAAACTTTGTTAAAAGGGTCAAAAAGTGTGAACGCCGAAAGAGTCATTATTTGCTAGCCGCATGCCTACATGCATTCCTTTGAAAAGTAAAAGAAATTTAGTTATTTCTTAATTATTCAGATTGGTCGTGTGTTGAAACTTCCAAAGCTTAATTACAGTGGTTCACATTGGCCCAGGCAAATATAGGAAAACTAGGGTGTGTAAGATCCAATTTAATTCGTTCAAATTAATTGATTTTGATAATTTGATAAATTAGATCAGATCAATGCTTTTCAAAATCAACATAATTGGATCGAATGACAAATTTGCTTATGGAAATCCAACTAAATCAAATCCAATCCAATCTAGTTATGTTTATCTGATAAACACAATAAGAAATAAAAAGCTTCTTCAAATGGAGAAAATTGAGAAATGTTCTCACCAATGAAATCCCAGTTGCAACGTCACAACCATAAAGATTTTAGGGAGACCACAAAAAAAAAGTCAATGCAGATGATGTTGCAATCGAACTGTTTGGAAAGGGAAGTCTTACCTAATCACACAACATAACACTGTTTTCCATGAAGCTCAGCTCAGACTCTCAGAGCAAGAGTTGAAATTTTGAAATTACAATGACAACTGTGTGCGAGATTAAATGGTCGGTGCTGAAAATTTCTAGCATGTAATAATGCATGATTGAGTTGGCCAAGATGTTGGATGGGATGGGACCATGAATAGTTAAAAGCTCATCTCTCTCCATTGGTGGTCAAGCTAGGGTAAGGGGTGACAGTTCTTGTTTCTATATTCAAAAATACCAAAAACAGTACAATTTAAAAAATATAAAATTCAAAGATGATAGGACATCATAGTTTGTCACAAACAAGAAAAATCCATTTATTGAATGGGTATACAATTGTTTTTCTTTTCAAATTCAACATCACAACAAATTTTCGTGAATGAAATTTGAATTCAAGATTTTCTATGATTGAATGGTATAATGACCAAATAATAGGAAATGAGTGATACGATTAAGATGTTTAAAAGTTGTTCACTGTTTTTTTTTTGGGTTGAGTTTGCTCCTTAATCATTACGTAAAACTTGTTCATACTTCACACTCAAGTGCACAACATTAAATGTTCATAGCTTAAAAAGTAATTACAACCAAATAAATTTTTTATAAAAAAAAATGGCATATGACATCTCATATTAATTATGTAAATGTCAGATCAAGCATATTTGTTTTGGGATATGTTTTGTTCTATATTCTAAAGAATTTAGACATATATATATATATATATCTCTCTCTTTCTCTCTCCTCCATTGTGGCACGCACGTTAGCCGACAATGGTCCCCCAGTCATCCACTAGATTTGTTTCGATAGGCTCTATGTTTACCCAAAGAAGAAAGATTGAGAAAGAAAAAAGAGTAGATTCAACAGATAAATAAATAAGGGGGAAAAAAAAATTCCACCATGGTACTTTGTCCCACCAATTGAGCTCTCTCTTAACAAAATGAACAAGTTCTCTAATTTTCCTTCGAATCTCAACTACATGGTCTCACTACATGGTCTCCCATGCATGATGATGCATGGGATGTGAGGAGGGCTAAGTTGCATGTTTCAGCAGATTTTCTACAGAAAAGCAAGGATTACCAACATTAAATTGCCAAGTGAAACAAGTTTGCCACATACAAAAAGTACAAAACCTTCCTGCTTCCTAGGAAAACAGATCATACACATTAGGGTCGCATTTCAAGCTTTTGGCTCCGTAAGGGACCTCAGTTTTCCATAAGACTCGGAACAGGTATGAGCATAGTCTGACATGGCACGGAAGATCTCGGGCAAGCGAGTTTTGAGACTCCCCAGCGACTTCTCTCTCACCTGGATACAGTGTCTCTGGTGAGCTTCAACTTCCTCTTCCAGTTTCTTCTTCAAGCTCTCAACAATGAACTTCCTCTCAGCGACAGGATCCTTGGGATTTGCATCTTCACCTCTCTCCTGATCCATTTCTGCGTGTCTCTGCGCGTACTTTTGGTACCAGTCGTCGAATGCCTGACTTTTACGAAGATACTCCTTCCTTGTTTCCTCAAACTTCTCCTTTAGCTTCATCTCTTCCTCCTGATGAAGTATTATGGTCTTTATCACAGCTGCAAAGGACGATATTGCAGATTTTGCAAGTTCATCAGGAAGCTTTTCAAGGAAATCATGCCATGAATGGAGGAGGACTTGAATTGGGGGATGTTGAACTCTTGGCGGGGATGAGATTTTCTCTTTTAAGCTGCTTTCAATGGGAATGAGATTTAGCTTCAACCAGCTATTAAGAGCTTGGATGTATTGTTTTTGATGAGTCACGAGCTTATCAAACTGTGAAAGCCATTCTTGGAGAACATTATAGAGCTGGACAGTGCGGTCATGGTGGTGCTTTGTGGTTTCCATCAGAGTATGGGCAATGTCGAGGGATTTTAGGTCTGTGACAATCTTCAGCTGGCTGCCATGATGCGTGCACATGTTTTCCCACATTTTTGCCATCCTGAGTTGCAGACGAGATTAAAATATTTCCCGAGGATCCTTCTTAATACAAAGAACATATTACCACAATCTGTTAAGGAGAAAGCAATAGCTTCCAGAACAATGTACAAGAATTGTTTGCAAGCACAGTTGACATTAAGTGAGTGCTATGCCCCATGACTGGTATATAAGCCTAATGCAATAAATATATGGACATCCTTTGTCAGAGGAGCAAGGAAACAGTCCCACTGAAAAAATGGAAACATCAGTTCAATTTCCCCGCATTAGAATGGTGATTTGTAGAACGTTAGATGTTACTAGTCTTTTTTACAATGAAAGGCTCTTGATGCATAACCAAAATGATTTTAAGACAAAAACTATAATCTGATCAACCAAGAAGACACTAAGGGGCAACAGGAATGAAACAAAGAAGTACCAAAATTTCTCAATGTAATTCTGGGCCATAGACTTACCCATCAGCTAGAGAAACAAGTTTAGGGTACAGCTGCTCATCCCGTAATTGATTTACTTCTGAAACTGTAGAATCCATGGACTGCATGTCAACTATGTATCTTGTATGCAAATGACTTACAGCTGCTTTTGTTTTTTCTAAGGTTTCAGCACTGGCGTTGCGTTTCTTCTGTTTATTCAGCAGAGCAACCTTTCTCTGATACTCAACCTTCATAAGCTCCCCTTGCTATCAACATAAAGCAAAACCAATAAGGTGCAGGGTATGAGAATAAGCATATAGTACGCTGCACATTCTTATGCCGGGAACTTTTCAAAATATATTCTCCCAATCACACCGAGTAGAGAGTTGATACTAACAATATTCATGAATGCAGAATGAGAATAGTGAATCAAGATGAAAGGCAACAAACAAATAAGATGAAACAAACTAATGCACAGCACCTTCACTTCATCATAAAGTTTCTTTTCCCATGCTAATAACTTGTCCAAAACAGTGGCATGAGTTTCATAATCTTCCGAGTTTTCATCCTTCCCATCACCTGGTATGCCTCTGAACGACCTATTCCATGTAATAACACGCATGACCCTTGCAGAATGATCAATGTGTCCTGCATAACATTACAAGAATCAGTATTGCATCCAAAAATGATTCAGAGGATATATCTCATAAAGAGAATGCCTATAACAAGAAGCACAAGCACAAATGTAAGAAAATTCAAAAGATTTTCTTTGTAGAATAGTCATTCAATTGTGGTTTCCTAAGGCACATTTTTTGAGTCCTGGAACAGGTAGATTCAAAGCATCAATCCTTGAAAAATAAAAGGGTAAATACTGACAACTAAAGATGAATTAGTTTTTGAAGTCACTAGAACCAACATATAGACAAACATCTTGTATAAAGTACTTTTTCTCACTTTGAAATATCAGAAAGTGAAAGTATATAAGCTTGAGATCAGATTTCCAAAAAGTAGTTTTGAATACTTAAAAGATACGATTTCAATATTTTTAAACACATTTGCACATATTCTTTTGATAGGAACCATTTGAAGACATTTTGAAAGATCTGGAGAAAAAGGTCTCTTTCACACATCAAAATGAACACACTCAACTCAACCATTACATTAACACCTAAGAAGGTGAACAAAACATAAGCATCATATAAAAGCTCAGGCTCAAAAGAAATTCGAAGTACACTATCAATGTGGCATATACCTCGATTATCTGCAAAATTCGAGTGATAATGCAACCGAGTGGCCTCGAGCATCTTTGAAACCTCCTGTGCACTCTCCGAGGCCTTCAAGAAATTATCATCAATCTTATTCAATATCTCCATCAAAGTCACACTGGGGATCACATTGACCACTCTCCTACTAAACTCCGGTGGCGCCGTCTTCGAATGCTCGATTGTCGGATTCACCGGAGTCTCCTCCACCTTCTCCTCAATCTCCTCCACCTTCTCCGGAGTCTTTGGCTCAACGTCATCACCCAAATCACCACCACCACCACCACCGCCAACCTCCACATTCTCATCTTCACCAAACTCCTCACCTTCATTCTCACTCAAAGAAGGTCCCGGCATGTTTTCCACCATAAAGAAGTAGTCCCAAGCCATGCCCTTAGACTCAGGCATTGGAGGCACCGGCTTCATCTCCGGCGTCCTCGGCGGTGACGACGTCGTTTCCGAAGCCCCATTTATCGATCCCCTCTGAAACCCTTTATGACTCTCATCTTCATAATCATTTTCATGGTCCTCTTCCTCCTCATCCTCTTCAGCAATGGCCAACCCAACTCTCCGCCCCCCAATTTTCCGAGCCTCAGCACTCATCGCCGGCAAGCTGGTGGCCCTCTTGATAGGACTCGGAGTGAAAGTGGGTAGAGGCGGCGGAGGCGGTGGAAGGTTGAGATTCTCGAGGTGAGGCGGCGGCGGAGGAGGTGGCTCAGTGGTGGGGTCCAGTGGCCGATTGTGGCTTTGGAGGATTTCGAGCTCTTGGGTCTGTTGGGTTTCACCGTGCCCGTAATCGCTTAACGCAGCTCCGGCGTTCTTCAAGGCCATGGTGTAGCCGGAATGGCCCGAAGCAAAGGCGTTTCGAGCCACCACAGCCTCCTTCATCAGGTTTCTGCGTTCTTTGCATCGCGAGACTGATTCTTCGTTGTCTATTCTCGATTGCGCGCACCCCATTTTTGTTGGGTTCTTGAGGAAACGACTCTTGGAGTTTCAAACAGTCTTAAAGTTATGGCCTTTTTGACATTTAACAGAAAAGGGCTCAGAAACAAAAGGGTTTTGGGTTTGGAGCTGATGGGTGTGGCTAGAATGCTGTGGCTTCCATGGATATGACAGAGTGAAGCTTAACAGAGCTGAGTTTGAGTAGTGTGGTAGGAGCAGCCACAGAGAGATGCGAGACAAAGGCGGGGGCTTTTTTGGGTTTTCACTTTTTCAGCTACGAGGGACAGAGAAGAGTGTGGTAATGGAGGGAGGAGAAGGGCATGAAATGAAAAGAGAGAGAGAGAGAGAGAGAGAGAGAGAGTGCTGCCAAAACTGGTACAGAGAAGTGAGCACAGAGGGCACAGAGAGAGGGGCGAGGAGTGAGAAGAAGAGTGGGATTTGCGTACTCGCACGGAATAAAGACTCAAGAGCTACTCGCGCGGTTTGATTACGAGGTGTCTTAATCCAGATTTTTTAAAATAACGGTCACATTTTTTGAGGCAGCCTAAACGACGTCGGGTAGCTAATTAGCACGTTAAAAAATGCCACGATGCGACGGATGGTATTTTGCATTGACGTGTGTTTTTGAATGGTAATCGTTTAAATTTGAGTAGGTAAACTGATAATTAGCTAATTAATTAGTCTTCATGTAAAGTGGAATAAACATTCATCAGTCGGGTAATTAGGTGAAAGGGAATAAAGCTGTGAACCCACGAGGGGAGAGCTATTATTGGCAATTTGAAATATTTTGTACTGATATGCCTTGTTACTTAAAAAAGAATGTCGTTATTATTCAAATTGGTAACATAAATTCTTAAATATGTTTATAAAATTTGTTAGCGAAAATTCATAACATGTACTTTACGTGAGTTTCCTAACTTTTCGTAAACTAATATTTTCTCTCTCTAAATAAAGAGGTTCTATAAAAGTTTTTGTATAATATTTCATGTTAAAATAGGCCCATGGAAAGCCCGAAAAATACAGAAGTTTACGTTTAACCATGGAGCGGCAGTGAAAGTGGATGCGCTTTTTTATGCTTCAACTGTTTAATCCTTTTCCTTTTGTTAGGAGGGAAAAAAGGTTCAAATTTAGTTCAACCGTTTAAGAAGGAGAAAAGGGCAATTTAAAAGCTAAAAACAGTTTATTTGATCCTCTTTGTAAAGCGCACTGTTTGGCTGATTGACGATTGTGGGAAGGGAGGAAACGGGCTTAACCAAAACTTTACAAAAAGAAAAACGCCCGTTTGCTCAGAATGAGATACATGTGAATTTACATTTGTGATTGATGATAGAGCTCGTATGAACCAGGCAGTCCAGTGATTTCCGGCCAAAAAAAAAACCATCAGGCCAAACTCACAGCAGCTGGAAACTGGTCTTGAACAAATACTTGCACCTGCCCAACCAAAACACTGCCTGATCCTTGACTTCAGACCCCCGTTATATACGTTCCCTGGGGAAGAGAGGAGATTTATTACTCAATTTCGGCTTCTTTCACGAATCGGCAAGACCAGTACTTGGAGAGTGCGAGCAAGAGTTGAGAACAATGTGAAACTTACCAAGAGGGGCAAGTTCACCCAGCCACACTGCTCATTTGGCCTTGAGTTCAGCTTTGAGTTTTCTCAACTCCTTACCTTGTTGCTATTAAAAAAGAAGGAAAAAAAATCAGTTTAAACTAGTTTGACAAAGGAAACAACACGCAGCAACCTTATAGCTTGGAGATGGTATGGAATATTTCCAAGACCTTATACAGGTTCCCCCAAACAAGGTCTGATCTTTCTTGTAGTAAGCACCACTCCATGGCCATATCATATTCAGTAGTGTTAGGCTGAGAACAATGCGAAGTGGATACAGCTTCTTTCTGGATCCAAAAGAAAAAAAAGCATAAACATGTAAGTGGGACTAGGATTAAACCACAACAGAATACCAACTTTATGTGCATGGGTTTTCTAACGTGTTTATTATGCTTGTAAGGGGCCTTGGTGGTAAGGAGGTGTAAGAGTGCAAGAGTGTGCCAGTGTTTGTGTGTGTGTGTGTGTGAGAGAGAGAGAGAGAGAGTTACAACCGTACCATCTCCCTTTCCCGCATCATTTGCTGCCGAAGTTTATCAATAACTAGATGACCATAAAAAATTGGTTTCTTTTCCGCAGGGCGAGTTCTGATGCTGCCGACAAGCGGCCTATAAATCATAAAGAAAATATTCATCATATTAACAGCAGACTAGTTTTAGAGAACGTAAAAGCTGATAATCACATTGAGATTGAAGGAAGCCTATCTGCTTCGTCAAACAAAACCAGTTAAAATTACAGATCCAAGACAAAAATACCACCTAGTGAAAAAATCTTGCATGATCTGTTTTCAACTGCTTTGACATGATAACACATAAAAATTGTACATAACAGAAAATATTTTCATTAAAAAGACTTGTAGCAGTAGCCCAAGTAAGTCATACGAAAGACCTTGAGAAAGAAATTATTGACATGCAAATTAGTCCAGGGATTCTTCATTATTCAAGGGGGAAGTGCAACAGATACAAGAAATTCAATAAGAGTAAATAGCAAAAACAGATAACATGATGTAGAACCTGAACAATAGAGCTGATACTAGAATATCATCTAACTAACCTTCCATTTGACAATAACAAGCAGCCCTCATCTAATTTTCTAACAACCATCTGTGCTGCTTCCCTAGTTTTAAAAATAACGAGAGCTTGTCCTACAATATGAAAAAACGTGTCATAATTAAAATCCACAACGCCTAAAAACATCACTTCAGTCGTGGTCTGTTCATAAACAAAAATTATCATCTGATAACAAGATCAAGTCAATATTTTCCACGAGAGAGAGGAATACACATTCGAGGCAATTCCGATTTATCTATACCTGAGTGAGGGCTAGAATTTGAAATTCGCTGAATCATCTTAGCCGTGCAACTTTCCTTGAAACCATGCCATACTATGTCCTGAAATATAATACATACTATCATAAGAGAAGATTCTCTCAAATAAGTAGAAAACCAAACATATAAGTGGCAGGCTAGAGTAGTCAATGATCAAAATTTATAAGAGAACAAACACAACTTGCTACAATTTTATTGAAGAGTTGAACCACTTCAAGCCACAACAGCATAAGCTGCTAAAGCTCCAATACGATTATTACCTCCACTTCTGCTGAAGTGTATGCCGGATCCAAATTCTGGAGCAAAACAAGGGTGCCTTGCTCATGTGCAGTCTGCATTCTATCTTCCCAAGGCTGACATTGATAAAAGACCATTCATCAGTCCAAGATAGCCCACACAATTGTCCACCTTACAACATTAGCTCAATTTTCCATCTAAATTAACTTTTCCTTTTTTCTTTTTCAATTCTTCAAGACACTCATTCTGTTTCCTTGCTCCTTGGCAATAGAGTGGAAGACAGGTTTGAGGACTGAAGGTTCAAGGCACTTAAATCAAATGTCAACAATAAACATGAACTTGAGATTCACAAGCAAATAAAAAAAATAACAAAATTGCTGAAAAGCAAATATAAAAATTTAAATAAAGAATAGAAGTGAGAGAAAAAAAACTCACAAATCCCTTAAACCATGTTCTTCTGTCCTGCAAGAATGAAAAAGATGAGAAACTGTAAGACCTGAATTCCAGCTAAAGCTTTTGGGAACTAGGCATTAATAATACAAAAGAAATAAAAGTAAATCTAAATTCCAAACCCTTCACCCCAAAACACAAATGCTAGGTGACTCAAATTGTTTTGACATGTAATGTTATAGATGCAAAATAAAATCGTATAGTAAATTTCTGTTCTCAAAATAGTTAAAAGAGTATAGTATGTCTACATGTGTGAGAACGGTGTGCAGAGTATAGTAATTTTCTGTTTTCAAAATAGTGAACCTCCAGTCATCATCCTGTGAAAATAGGTGATGTTGTGTCTCTTTGTGTTCATGTGATCTAATTCCATTGTTTTAGCTGATTGGTTTTTGCTTGAGAATCTGGAATAGCATCTGCATATTGAGTTTGAGTTCTAGAACCCTATAGACCACAATTAAGCATAGTTAAGTATCAAGACGAGTTGAGCCCAACACTAGTCTAGTACAAGTTTTTCTGCAACAAATTCGTATAACGTTGTAGAGGTTTGAAACGCTAAATTTGAGGTGAAGAAGTTTGAAGGATGAATTATGGGTTGTGCAAAGTTCAAGCGACGGATGTTTTGATCAAACAAAGATTGTTCAAGGCCTTGAAAGGCATACAATGGACACCACAGAAGATGGCAATAGAGAATTGAGATGAGTATATATACTTCGCATGAGGGCAGTTGCTTCAATGAATGACCATCTTAATTAACAAAACCAATTAGTCACTGAATGTTAAAAATAAAAGAGACCTTCAAAGTTCAAGGCATTGCCTTTACTTTTTGGCATCACTTCCCTAGAAATATGATTACTTGCTTAAACCCTGATGTATGAGAAAGAAACCATCACGCATTTTCAACAACAAACTGTGTCGACATGTTATTGATGCATTTTCAACAATATGCATGTCCATTTACCATCGGTAAACAACAGACTTCATGTTGGGATCAACATCATTATCGATATCATGTCAATAATAAATTATTGATAATATTGATACAAAGTCCTTCCTTTACCAAAGGATGGACGACATACACATACAATTTCTACTACCCTTTAAATTTGAAAATGGGTTTGGCTTTTGGCTCATTTGGGAATGCTTTTGTAGAAGCGCTTCTACTAAAATAATGTCAAAAAGTTTATCGAAAAATCCAAGTGGATCTTGGAAGTGATTCATGAAAGCACTTGTGACTCAGAAGCACTTGGGGCTCGTTTGGGACTACTTCAGTAGGAAGCACTTCTACTCACAAGCGCTTCTAGCAAAAGCACTTTCATTATAAAGATGTTGAAATTTTCATAAGAAATCAAAGAGCTTCCTGGAAAAGCACTAGGCAATGCTTCATGAAGAAGAACATGACATGTGCTTCTCCAGAAAGCGCTTCTATGATCCATAAGCATTTCTAAAATTTTCTGCAAAACACTATCAGAAGCACTTTTAGTTGTCATAAAAGCGCTTTTAAGCCTTTCAGAAGCACTCCCACACAAGCCCTTTATATTCTTAAGGTTTAAGTACTCTTTTATCCTTGTATTTTGCTTAAACTACAATCCCTTGCATTTGGTCCCTATGTTTTAAATGTTAATCATTTTGGACATTTCCGTCTAATCTGGGTGTTAATATGCACCCGCAGAGGCTCATACATCAGCGTATATTAACGCCGAAACAGGTGAAAAGGATCGAGATTGATAACGACACAAAACACAAAGACCAAATTGGTCAAATTCAAAGCATGTGGACTAAAATGAAAATTCAAGCAAAACATAGGAACCAAAATGGTACCTATATTTAAACACAATAAGTTAAATGTCGGAAGAGAAAAAGAGTGACATGTTGCCAAGACTACACACAATAGATTCGCAGAAGAAACACTGACATGTCAACAAATGGTGACTAATAAAAGTAAAGTGGGGAGCATGATGTTGTCGTGTATGGGTATTCAAACGATGAGATAGGAGAAAGTCCTCTACATGCTATTTGTTTAAACTAGCATAAGGTCAAGTCAATTGGAGGTTGATGGAGGCAAAAATGACTACGACTATGTAAGAGGCATTGTGGCTCCGAATTTTGGTTAAAAATTTGGGTATTTCATAGAAACACATGGTAGTATTTTGCTATAGCCATGGTATTATTCATTAAGCAAAAAATCTAGTTCATTATGTTAGAACTAAGAATCTTAATGTCTATTCTTGATATAAAAGGTAATCAATGATGGCAAGACATGGAACAATCAATCTTGTGTAGAGCAAGACAAGTAATGTAACCTCGAACACAATCAAGTAATCAACTCGACACTGGTAAACGACAAATGAGCGCCAACTCAAAGTTCTTGACCTTTCAGTCGAACTCAATCGTAGTCAAATACTAGAATTTAGAGTCACTTTGTGCCTGACATCAAAACGAGCCTTAATGTAAAAGTATTAGTTTCACTCTTCTCCAATTATAGCATCTCCAATGATGTGCCAACGAAAAAGTATAAGTTTCGCTCTTCTCCAAGCTATTTGATGTTCCAAAATGTCAATTTTAAAAGTAGTGCCACATATGACACAACATTGGGCTTTGCCGAAATTGAACATCGAGAAAAAGCTTCCATATTGAGAGATCGAATAGATGGGAACTCCGACGTATAAAAGAACATGGCATTTGTTAGACCCAAAGTGTTGACACGCAAGGAATGGCATCAACATTTAAGTATGTGCCACAATACGACATAATTGCACACCCAACCATTGGAAATGCTTTTAATAAGGGGCCATTGGACGAAAATGAAAAGTAGATAGAGTGACAATACTTACAGCATCAGGACGTTGAGTGACTTCCAACACTTGGGAACCATAATTTTTGGCCTTATTCTGAGACTCTGTAGGAGGTGGCAACTTGCCATCAAAAAGCGTCATAACCTTAACATCGGGCTTCATCTTCTTGGAAGGGCCTTCGTTTGTCCCAAGAAAATCCTTACGTTGAGAGGTTTTAGGCAACTTGACATTAGAAAGAGTTGTTGCCTTATCATCGGGCTTCGTCTTCTTGCAAGGGGCTTTGTTTGTCCCAAGAGAATTCTCCATACTTTTAAGTTTGCATTTATCATCAAGTGTAGAAGCAGTTGATGATAAAACCTTTTTATCATTCATAAGCTTATGGTCACTACTTTTGCTTTTGTCATTTACCACCTTGGTTGAAGTGTTAAGCTTCGACTTAGACTGTCCATGGTCCAATTCACTAGAACCCTTTGTGCATCTTATCTTTTCTTCCACCTTAACATGTCTTTGCTCACAAATTTTTCCCTTATCATCGGATACTTTAATAGTACAATCAATCTTCGCCTTCTTGGTTGGCCTATTGTCCAAATCAACAGAATCCTTGGTACACTTTACAATTTCTTCCTCCGCAACTTGTCGTGCATGAACTTTACCACGTCTTACCTCACCCTCGTCGCTTTTAACTTTAGACCTCAATAAGGCCTTGGGGTTTGACGCATGTTCCCCTTTTTCATTAGTTTTATCCATGTCACTTGATTTTAAACCTACACCAAAAGCAGGCTTTTCTACAAGCGAAGGTTTATGCTTAACCAAATCAGCATTTTCTTGTGTTGAAGAATCAACACAATTTCCATTTGTCTCTAAAGTGACATGTTCTTTAAATGAGTTTTTCTTTGATAGAACCATTGTTTCATTACTTTCTATGGAATTCCCACAAACTTCGTTTTTTCCTAAATCAACTTTCAGAACGCCACCAGGCTTCTGAATATCCATTCGGTTAAACATGAATTTAACTGCAACAATTACATAAACATAAAAGATATAAGACTTCAAAAACTAAAAATACCATGTAACTATAATCCAAACTACAATAGACTCGGTGATAAATATGCGTACCATCAATCCCAGCAATTTGTCCATCTATCTTATCCATGATTTTCTGCTGCCCAACGTCAAAGGTTCGACGAAATACAAATTCAGCCATTTGAAGTTCTTCAGCTGAAGGTAGAGGATTTTCCTTGTCCTTTGAAATGCAAAGAACATTGCATTTTCCAGCAATGGCTTCCTGATTTGATTATAAAAGTTCAGCAACTAGACGACTGATTTCTTGTAGGAGAATATGAAAAAATTGTTGTTCATAACCTAACAACTTAAACTTTTGCAAATAGTAGTAACCCAACAACTTTATTATGGTATTCAAGCAAGAGAGTTCAAATCCCTACAATTGAAACCTCCCAATATAAGTTGGATTCCACATATTGAACTCTAGTGGTACAAAGGCTACCAAGCCTAAGGGGGGTGTGTAAGAGTATAATAATAATTGTTTTCCTAAACATCCTAACAAATTAAGCTTTTGGATTGGTACAATGTTATCATAGTATATCTGTCCTCTGATGGTACTTACCAAGACATGCATAAAATAGATTTTTCCAAGTACTAGTTACATGAAGTTTTTTTTTACAATCAGTTACACATTGTAACCATTTCTCAATGGTCATCTTACCATGTCCATTAGAGATATAACATTTGCCAGAAGCACAACTGATGTTCTGCCTTAGCATATTGTGTATGTGTGTGTGTGTGCGCGTGATGGAGAGTGGGAGAGAGAGAGAGAGAGAGACAGCACATAATCTGACACAATTTAACAACCATCTCAAATGGAAGCTGAGTCTGATTGTATTACTGGAAATCAAACTTGTAAGGGTCACCATTTGTAGTCTTCTAAGAAATAGATAAGAGAAAACACTTGGAAGATAGGGATGATTTATGGTTCTCCTATATCCGAGAACTATAATATGTCACTAATCCTATTCAAACACTTCAACCAATCTAATAAAAGGCACAGGGATTAGTCAATTCCTGGTGAAGATTGAAGCAGAAAATTGAAAAGGGAAAAAAAACTTTAGAGCACCATGGAGAAAACAATATCTGAAAATTTTACAAGAAAATGCAAAGATACTGACCATACAAAATTCCTATATCATTATTAACTGAAAACTAAAGAGATACTTTTGATAAGAAAACCTAGATATTTCCACTTAACTTTCATAACTCTCCGTAATCAAGTAATCATTCCATTTCTGTATAGAAAATAAAATGAGTTTCAATATATAAATAAAAGGTTAATTACCAATGGATTAAGATTCGCAAGGCCTACACCTTCACCAGATGCCAAAAACAACTCATTCTCAAGTATCTCTTCAGCTCCAAGAAAATTCAAAATCTCACAGGGGCGGAAAAACCATAGAACTTTGACTTTCTTTGCCTTCTCACCAGTCTCCCATATTTTTATTAGCTTACCAATCTCAGGCTCGGGTTCACTTTCCTTGTAAAGATAAACACAATCATAAAGACCATACTCCACGCCATCATAAGTAAAAGATTCATAAAACTGAACATCCTTATTTCTCCCTCCCCTTCCTTTCTTTTTTCCCCACTTAAATTCAAGTTCTTCACTTGTCTCAACATCTACCATGTTCTCCTAGCAGACCTCCTCACAAGCAGACTAACTATTAACCTGGAAAATAAGAAAATACTATAATTATATAAGTTTCCAGATGAAATAGCAGCCAAAGAATTCAAAATGTGGACCAACATCAAATAAATTGCATGGTCTGTGCACGTGCAACTTTAAAAGCACATAAAAAATAACCCAACTACAATAAAAGTTCCCATATTATTAACTCTTAAAACAAGATAGATGTAGTGATCCACAAGCATAAATGGACCCTTACTGGACAAACATGGTGTTGATAAAATTTAAAAAAAAAGTAAGAAAATAATGAGTTCAAGACAATAACACTTTTCCATGAAAGCTGATTGAGGACTGCAATAAACTTGTCTTATCTTAAATAACTTTTCAAGAATTAACTTGAAATTTCATATCCGGAAAGTAATAGGAGTGGCAGCTTTCAATTGAAACAAAAAGAAACCCTAGAAACCCAAAGTCTTATTTTCCTGGAAAACTCACACTCCACTGCTTTCTACCGTTGATTTAACAAATGCACCAGTAAACTATGCGAAGAGCTCAGAAGCAAAACTGAACTGCAGAAAAGCATTTTACGATTTCCGTGTCCAACTATATTAGAGAAAAACTAACTGGAGGAAAAACCACAGTAAATTACGCATAGAATACTCGCCAAATAGATGGAAGTCTAAAACGTTAAAACCAATTCAGGAAAAAAAAACAAATCAAATAAATAAAACCCAGATACAATCCCCAATCTGAAAAACCATATCTACGGGGATTATTTAACTAAATAAGTAAAGAAAGAGAGAGTGAGTGAGTGAGTGAGAGAGTGAGAGAACCGAACCTAACACCGCCTGTGCAATTGAGGTAATGCTGATCCAGTAGGGAACTGGACGTGTACAAACCCTAAATCGTTTTGCCCTGTTTATTTATTTGTTCTGTTTCTGATGAAAAACCCTAGCCACAACGCCTAGAAGATGCGCGCGCCTCTTCCTCTCGCCTCCTTTTAAAGGTTCCCTCGTCTGATGTGAGAGCTATATTCCCTCTTTTCAAAATTTTGGGCAAAAATTATAAGAGATTTTCTATTTAAACCCACACTTCTCTTTGTTCACCCAAATACTTAAATCATTAAGCTGTAAATTTTATTTATTGTGTAAAAAGACAAAAAAATGTCATTCAACTTAATACTTAAACCTAATACATCTACACACACACCCCACCACTCTTTATATTAAGTTTTAGAAAAATACAAAATCCTCTAGCATAGTAAAAACATTGGTACTTAACCCTAAACCTTAAATCATAAACCCTTTATTGGAAAGAAAGGTATGCTTTGTGTCTAAATTATCGCAACGATTTTATTAAGAGTTATGTCTTGGAGTTAGTTTATTTTTGTTTCTTTGGGGTGATGCATATAAGGGCTGATTTTTGCAGGCAAATTTGTGTTTTTTCATTTTTCTATTTTTTGCCCATCTAAAACCAAATTTGGGCTCTCAAGGTTTTGGTGACCTTCTTGCCTGCATAAGAGACAAGAATATTCCACTTCAAAATATTCATTTTGTGGTACGAAACATATGCACTTTAAATTTGTAAACAGTAGAAGATTATTGTACCTTCGTGTAAGTAAATAGTAGATGATTACTGTATCTTCGTGTAAGTGAAATTTGTTCTTACCAAGGTAAGTTGTACCTTCTTATCTACAATGCAAATAAATATCTCCTTATTTAATTTCTAATTTAGAAATCTTTATTTAGTCTAGGACCTTCATCTTTTTCTCAAAAAATAAGGGCCTTCTTCATCTTTCCCCCCACTATTTAGTTTAGATATATGCTTCTTTTTTTTCTATAGTTTGTAGTAGGAAGATAGTGGGGTTTAAATAGAAAGACTCTTTATTTTTATTTTTTCAACTTGGGGTTTATTTAAGGGTTGTTTGGGAAGATAATGGGGTTTTCTTAGAAATTGTGAAAATTTAAATTAGAAGTTGGGGTGAACTTAGACGATGGGGTGAACAAAGAGAAGTATGATGTTTAAATAGAAAATCTCAAATTTAAAGACCTCCATTTTAAAGATGATTGCCATTTTTCCTTTTTCTTTATGAATATTATTTATACAAATTTATAAATAAACCCAATCTTAGACATGTATTTATAAAAAAACCCAAGCACTATTTAAACATAGAAATACACCCAAAATCAACAATTGTATATTTTTTGGGTGTGTTTATAAATGGGTTTTGGGTGTGTGTAATGATGGGTTTTGGGTGTGTTTATAAAGTGTTTTGGGTGTTGGGTTTTTTTATAATTTCAGCCCTCATTTTGGGTGTTTTAGTAAAACTCCCTATTATTTATTGATATACGACTTAATTTTATAAATACCTCTAGTATATTTATTGATATAACACTCCGATGAGAAAAACTTATATGTAACTATGTTTGTTATGTAGCATATAAGAGCATGATAAATCAAATAGAATTTTCATTAGGTAAATTTTAGTAAATTTGGGTTTTTCCTTTCAAATTCATTTTTTCTTACCCACAACAACCCATCCTTTTGTTTTTTTGTTTTTTTAATAAATTAAAACTAATTTTTTAAAGTAAAATTTGATGACTAAGATCCACTTAAGCAAGTTACCTAATCAAACTTAAACATATTAAATGCTACATTTTTTAATTCCTAAAATACCCCTAATTGCATTTTAACCTTTTTTTTTTCCAACAAATTGTTTGCTATTCAATGTCATAATGGTGTTTCAATTTTGCATAAGTTTTATGGGTCAGTTTTATTTATTATTTTATATATAATTAAAACTTGGTGTGTAATTAGCGTCGTATGTTTTGAAATTGATTGGTTCTAATTAGGCTTGGGCTCGGTTTGGGTTGGTTCGGTTTTGGGTTCAACTTGAACACCAAATTGTAGGCTTCAGTTTGACTATTTTGAAAACCAAAACCAAATCATAATTGATGAAATCCGACCCCTTCAGTTAACTGGACTTGGTGGTTTGGTTTAGTTTGGTTTCGGTTTTTTGGCTTTCTGAGAGAGAGAGAGAGAGAAGAAATAAAAGCAATGGAGAGGAGAAGAATAAGAAAAAAACAAAAAAGAGGGAGAGATGGAGAAGAAGAGGAGAAAAAGAGAAGAGAGAGAAGAAGAATGAAAAAAGAAGAAGAGATAGTGAAGATAGATATAAGAAGAATGAGAAGAAAAAAAAATAGAGAGAGAGGGACTGATGAAGACAAGACAAACGGAGAGATTGAGAGAAAAGAAAAAGAAAAGATTGAAACTATGTATTATATATATTTCTTATAATAATATTATATTTAATATTTTTAATACCTTCGGTTTGGTTTGGTTAAACCGTGATTTTGAATATTGCAAACCGTACACCGAACCATTTATTTCGGTTTGGTTTGGGTTCAAACGATGACAAAAAAAAAATGAAAAAAAACCAAACCAACCCAACCCATCAGTTTGGTTTGGGCGGTTTGACCGGGTGACAGGTTTGAATGCCCAGCCCTAGTTCCAATATAACTTTTATTATTTTTTATTATTACTATGATTGGTTATATGTTGTGAATGAAATATATAATTATAATTTGGTATGTTTTTCCAAATCCGACTACCTGATCATATTTTGTTTTAATTTCATATAATTGGTTTGTTATTTCCTTTTATTTATATCCAAATTTGAAATTTAATAATTGTTATGGATTTGAAATTAATTTTTTTTCGATACATTAATTTACCTACGAATAATTGTACCTATATTTTTGTATACCAATTTTTTCTTATAAATAATTTACCTATAATTTTGTATACTAAATAATGTATCTATCTACGTATATTTGCTTATAATGAACCGATTTTTTTCTTATAAATAATATACCTATATTTTTGTTTACTAAATAATATACCTATCTATGTATATTGGAAAATTATAATGTACCTAAGTACGCAAAAATTGTTACACATATTCTATGTCACAACTAGTGAAGAGACCAATATACCATTTATGCTTACAAACTCCCCAATAGAAAGAAAAAAAATATAGTCAACCCTAATTAATGCACGAATTCAAATTGTAACTCTAGAGAAAATTAAGGGATTTAAAAAAATAGAAACCACGTTTGAATGCTTGGTTAAAAATATTATTGAAATCCTAAATTTACGGGATTTTTTAAAGGAGAAAAATATTCAACAACTAAAAAAAGGGGCTGATGGCATAATTTGTAAATATGTCATATACATGTTGTTAATGTATGCATTTTGAGTTTTTCTTTTTGCTTCCCTTGACAATTTTGTAATAAATTTTATTATTTTTATCAAGCTCAAGTTTAGATTAAGAATAGCTTCTCTAGGTGTTCTTAACTAACAACTATCCTATGAAGGTTCAAGCAAATTGACAAAGGTAAATTGTGCATTGCATCACATTGCATTAAATTGATTTCATAAAATGATGACTAGTCATCTGTTTCTCGTATGACTAGTTATCCTTGCTCTGTAAGATTTCCAGTTGGATAACCAACTATTTTGTCATATTCTCCTTTCTCTCTCTGCTGCCATGTGTTGATTCATACCTAGGGAATTTTTGGGTGTAAAGGCCAAAGGATTCCTAATTTAGTAGCCGTAACTTTTGTAGGCAAGTTTTGGAAATTTTCTCTGTAAACTTTCTCTTCTTCCTCAAGTGTAACTTTCATATTTTTCATCTTTGAGTTTTCCAAAATGTTTTTTTTGAAAACTGCATTTGAAATATGAAAACCTCATCTTTCTAGATCAAACACTCTCTCATATATATATAGGTCATATTCAAGATTTATTTTTTCAAGAGTATGGTTTCTTGAAGAAATTGGTCATTCTCATTTGAATCCAAATTTTGGTTTCTGTATGAGTTAGAGCTTGCAAGCTGGTGCCATGGGATGAATGAGCTGCCATTGCCATGAAGAACTGAGCTTCAAGCTTTGCTAAGTTGAAGAATAAGATTGCATAAAAGAGGTATAGCTCATCTTCCCAAA